TACAGCATTTGATCTAATTTCACAACCGTTTTAAAGAAACCCAGGAAAGGTGTCTTTAGAAACCCTCACACACGTCTGAGCACATCTTTGTACTATGTAAATAGTATTTACTAAATAAAAAGATGTATTCTACATAATTTACATTTTACATACATAAATTAAGTTCGACGCCTCTTTTTTATTTAATTTTTTTCTATGTTTATCCTAATTGTATATTCCATGCTATACATACATATCCTCCTTTTTAGCGATTATTGGTACGAAATTTGAATGCGAACATTTACTTTCAATTACAACCTATTTATTTATAAAGCTAAAGATCACAAATATCACAACCAGTTAAACTACTGTGTAACTTCCAGTAAGCCACGTCGTTCGTACAACGGCAAGAGCTGCTTGATTATCCGTTGAACATAGGGATTCTTAAAGCAAGTATCCTTGAAGCGAATGCCGCGTTCGTCATCTTGCATTATTGCCCGGAAATCCGCGTCTTCGGTATCTGTGTTGCGTTGAATCGGCAAAACAATACAAGTTGAGTGAAAAGCTGTAAGCGAAGCGCTTTTATTAGAATATTGAATAAAGCAACCAGTTTGCGAAAGCTATCTACTACTTACCGTAAAATGCCTTTTCTTCTAGCTGCAAATGGAACTTGTGCAAGCATGGAATATTGGCTTGGTAGCGTAGTTTGCGCAATGTATCCGAGAAGGTTTCGTAGTAGCAACGTATAAGTTCATCCTGTTGATTTAAATGCAATCGCTCTTCCAATGAGGTGTTGAGGAAATAGTCCAGATCCAATGCTGGGGAGCCCCAAGTTGCATATTGGAAATCAATGATGATCACATCCAAGGGTTCGCCGGTATTTTTATTATATTTCACCATCACATTATTTGTCCAGAGATCGCCGTGCGCCAATACATTTACATGGCCTGGTGTGGCTTCGAACACTTTCTTGCCGATTTTGGCATAGTTGGACTTCAAGCTCGCCAACTTCTGCGCGTAATACTCGTACCCCTCCCACTGGGCAACACGACGACTGCAAGCCATCATCAGTCCTTCAAACCCGGGCATATAATTGTCTGTGTGCTGATTGAAGAAACCACGATCATAAATTTCCAGGCAACCACTTTCGCGTTCATTCAGCACCGCAGATGTAGCATGCATCTTAGCTATCTTGCGCAGCACCATTCGGGACAAATCCATATTTAGTCCGTCCAACCGATTGGGCATGATGAATTCACGCACGTTGAGATCCTCGAAAATGAGAGCGGAACGTTCACGATCCACCGCCATTGTTTCGGCGAAGATCTGTTCGTTGTCGCCGATCTCATGCAGCAGTGCGTTCAACTTCGGCAACACCTGTTCATAGATGGACATTTCGCGATTAAAAATATCGTAGGGTTCCATTGTTTTACGCGCAAACTCATCAGCCTCATAGGATGTCTTCACAACATAGTGCCCAGTGGCCACGGTGCCCGCGCCCGTTTGATAGTCGGCGCGTATGCGGCTTAAAACACCACCATAGTTTTCACCTTTTCCCAGCGCTGGCCGGATGTGCCACTTGAGTATTTTTAGATGACTATCTTGGTGGTGAGAACGCAAACAGCGTTCCAGGTAGTCCTTTGTGAGCCAAGCAGGCGCATGTGACTGCTCGAAGTCCACGTTGTGTTGGGAAGCGTTGGAGCCGCTAAAAACTTCCTTCGACAGTTTCGACAGCAAATTCTCAGTTGAGCTCATAATACTTATATCAGGCGTCGACATATTGCACTCTTATCAACCAGAAAACTACAGTTGTAACAATTTTGGTGTAGTAGCAAACATGCGCCCTACTCAAGGCTTAAAAGTCAAATAACAAACGCAATGCTACAAAAGCTGACTTTTTATCTACATATCACACAAGCGAAAAGAAATACACATCCGAGGACCGAGACGATACGACTTAGACTACATACTTTTATGAGTACTCTGATTTATAGCATTGTTACAGAAGAAACACATTTTTTTTTTAAGTATTTATTTAAATAAGCTCAGCTGCCACAACAAGTAGCCGTACAATGTTTTGAGATGAATATTTGTAAAGCGCAAATTCTAACCATAAATTAGCGTAGAAAGTAAGTTACATGCACCCCAAATACGTAAACGCTTATACATACATAGATGTATGCAGGTAAATACTGTGTACGCAAATGGAAAAACAGCACCCTGTCGAAAATATTTTAGTTACGAATAATATCTTGCCGCCAAATGTAAGGCTAATTTCTTCCATTGTTCTATTTTAATTAAGTAAGAGAGCCAGGGTGGCTATTTTAGCGACTCTTGTTGTAACGTTGTCCTAACAAATCGAGAGGCAGAAGGCCTAAACTCCAACGCAATGATGATGACTTTTTCGTTACGCTATGCCAGTATATCAGAATGGATCCAAAGGCTTGCCTATAGATCTAGCCATACATTTATAGACGGCTAGTTTTTGTCATGGCTCAAGGCGCTGAACCTAGAATTTGTACATCTCCGTAGAGAGGATAAGGTCCATTTTTATCGAAACGACATTTAGAAAGCTTTATGCCCCTAACGGAAGTCTCTAACCTAAGTAATAGATAACTCTTGCATTCAAGTTTTTCTCGAAGGTATTACCAAGTATTTCAAATCAGCCTGAAACTTTTCCGAAAACTAACAAACCGCGCGAATGTCGACCGGATATTGAGCAGCGCTCGTTTTATACACCCTTACGGCGTAGATTTAGACCAGGCCGGCCTGGGCTAGGGAAGCTGAGTAGTCACCGGACCTACTAGTCCGAAATACATATGTGAACTTAATCGCGGAATCATAGAGACAGAGGTCCACATCGAACGAGCCAGCTACGCCGGCTAAGAAGGCTAAACGCTATGATGAAGCCATGCCGTCAAACATCAAGCGTGATTCCTAAGTAGCGGAAGAAACAAATGTGAAGGCCAATAAACAGAACCGGCTTGACTGTTTGGGTGGTTCCACAAGCTGAAAATCATTTAATGCAAGGATGACCACTCACTAAAATTACCGAACGAAGTGGTCTAGATGCTTCAGGGCCGCTCTGCTTTAAATTCTCGACTGAAACTGTATTCTTTCACAATCAGAGACGAAGGTGCTTATATATCAAATGATTAGTCAAGGAAACGCAGTAGCAGAAGGTGTAGCAGGTATCGAAACAAAGTCGAGGGATGGAAGCCAGAACTACATCCTCAAAAAACAAAAAAAAAACGGCAGAGATCTGCTATACGCGCGACTTTAAAGGATGCACCGATGGACGGCTAATGTTAATATGCTGGAGGAGGGTGAGGTGGCAAAAGATTCCGGCATAGGAGACTTTGGAAGCATCATACATATATGCACATACCTAATGCTAACCGCTCAGCGATATCATAAAATGTCAACGAAATATACGTAAGCGGGGAGAAAAAGTTAAACATTTTTAGTGCAATGACGCTCGAAAGGAGCGTACGGCACTGGGAATGCTCTCACGAGGTCACAATGCAAACATGTATGAATTTTAAATTGAATGTCACCATGTCGGGAATTATTTTTAAATCGCATATTCTATTTGAATTGAAATAAACCTACTAAGTACATATGTACATGCTTACTTAAGCCGCTTCGTAGTCATAACAAAAAGGAAGGCATACAAATATTATTTATAGCGCTGCCAATTAACTAACAGCTCTTCTGTCTGCCTCAGTGAGCATTTGAATTGCGTCGCTTTTATCTAATCCGCAAACTAATAAAGAGCAAGATTTGCTTAGGAAAGCGCTTTGACTTGTAAACTTTGGGAAGGTAGCATCTTTAACCCTCTAAAGCCGATCATCAAAGACCAAGATTGTTTAACGTAAAAACTTTTTATTTTTTTTCTTCAGTCAAACGCCAAAATCGGAATTCACAGGTGGAAGTGCAGATGGGTTAAACAAAGCCTTGAAGTCTGAAAGACCTTTTTACGATCGCAAGACACCCCAGTCGTAAACGTTAATCTTTGCGTTGTGAAAGATCTCCAAATGTTTCAAATATTATCAACTTATCTATTTCTTTATTTATTAGATATAATTAGTTACAGTTAGGAGAACTAGCTACCAGGGCTTTCGGCTGATTATCAACTTAACCCTCATCTTACCAACATAAAAAAGTTGCAAATCTTACCAACATGTGTCTTCAAGACACATATATGAAAATTAAATGATAATGATTGAACCTTGAAAAGATTCGGGAGTAATGTTCTGTTTTGACACCATCCAAGTCGGATGCAAATTTTTCCAAACAAGCATTATCCGGCTATTTCACAAATGCCAACTAAATGACAGAAGAATGTGAACGGCCATCTATTTTATTTTCTGCGGCAAGTAAAACTATGCGCAAGTTGGTCCAAAGTATCTACTGCGCCCTGAGTTTGATTGTAATACAAATTTATTTCTGAGTTGTTTTTGTTTTGGGTGTCGAAAGTAGGTACCGAATGCATCGAAGATAGGAAAAGAACTGCTCTTTTTGGTGCTGAGACATAAGACACCAAAGCCATATTTTTGGTGAAACCCAATATATTTGTTTCGATTTGCTTTCCTGTTTGGTAACACAACGTGTACCTGTGAGTGATTAATTTAGTCAGTTGATTTTTTTTTAATTTTTTGTTGAGGGTGTTCAGAATTTTCTTCCATGTAACGTATGAACAAAATCTATTTTTATATGAAAGGAAAAACACCCTCGACAAAAAAACAAAAATCTAAAAAATCAACGGTAATTTTTAGTGACTTGAAACTTGCACTCATTATATTAATTTAATGGGCTACAAAACTGCATACTCGAAAATTGTTTAAAAATTCTGAATAAAAAGTTTAAAATTTTTTGAAGTTTGATTCATTTTTATGGACTTTGTGGAATTTTTGAAAATTTTATTTCTGTGGTTTCTGTAATGGATCGAACTATATTTTAAATGAACATTAATAAACATCAATAAATAAACAAGAGTTGTAATAAATATCATTTTAAATTTTGCTATCTACTATTATATTTAGCGCTTCTGTACATACGTACATACATACATATACATATACATATAGTTTTATTGTTTTGCTTTATCTGACCTATAGTCGTATAAATAAGCATTTCAGTTTATCGTTATTTTACGAAAAATTCAAACATAAGAGTATGTGCCCCTGAGACACATGTTGGCAGTTTGTGTTACATTTTTTTGTTTTGACTTATAAAAAATATAGGAGCATAATTTTCTTTGCTTATTATTATTATACTGAACTATTCAGAATATGTATATGTAAAAAAAAAACACATAAAATCTGGTAGCAGTAAGTTGCATCATAACGCAGAAGTTAAACAACAAAATGTGTCTCACAGACACATGTTGGTAAGATTAGGGTTAAAATGGAAACTTATATACACATACATATGTACATATGTAAGTATGTAAATAAGGTAAAGTTTTATTTTAATAAAAATGGCCCTATTGTTTTCTAAAATGCCGACATGTTCACCGTTAAGCTTTTCTGTCGATTGTCGCCTTACTAAAGTAATCGTAACTTGAGCATGACAAAATGCTGTTCACATTTCGTGAAATGCTTGCAATAGCTTAGCTAAATTGACCGTAAATTATAAAAGTGTTATAGCAGCAAATTCTTATTTAAATAATGCTATATATGTATGAAGAGCAAAGTGTTCAGAGGAGCTCGGTGTCTACATTATCATCGGTCGTTGAGCTATGACGCCAACCCAGCTCGTATAAAAAGACACAACGCACTTCTAAATTTTGATTAGATACTCGTACACTCAGTGCGGTCGCAGATCGAGAGCAACAAAACAATATGGATGCACCAGAGTGGTTGACTGAGAATTATATGCTGGAAGCATTACGCGTCCATCACGAAGACCCCGGTCTTCAGCTACATTCTATGTATGTGCAGCCGGCAATGGCAAGGGGCGAAAATTACGGTGGCGTACTGACTCGCATCAGAGCACAGTACCAACTCAGCAACAGTAAGCAGAGACTAGAAAGGAGCTTTATCGTGAAGACATCTTTCGAGGAGGATCCCATTGCCAGCGCCATAATGGCGCCCTATGACATCTTTAATCGTGAAATGCGTATTTACGAGGAGGTGTTGCCTAAACTAAACGGATTGCTTCGCGAGATCGACGATACGGACCAACTCTTTGCAACGGCCATACATGTGGACTACAAACGTCAATTGCTGATTTTCGAGGACCTTAGTGAGCGCGGCTACGTGATGGCCAGTCGCTTGCACGGCCTCGACATCACCCATGTCAAGTTGATCTTGCGTAAGCTCGCCAAAATGCATGCCACGTCGGCAGTACTCAATGAGCGGCAGAACGGCTGTCTGGAAACGTACGATCGCGGCTTCTTCAACCGTTACACAGACAACTACAGTCCGTATTTCGTCGGATCTCTGCTTGCATGTGCCGAGTACATTCTGAAGAATATGCCCGACCGTGCGTACTACGGCCATAAATTGAAAGCGCTAGCGCCCCACTATATGGAAATTGGTAAACGCTGTTTTGCGCCAACTGCGGGACATATTAATGTATTGGCACATGGCGACCTCTGGGTCAACAATGTCATGTTCAAATATGATCCGAGGACAAGTGAGCCCGTCGATGTGCTTCTCATCGACTTTCAATACACTTTCTGGGGCTCGCCGACGCTGGATCTGCATCACCTTTTCAACACCTCACTGCAGGAGCCACTACGACTACATAAACAGGATGTGCTGTTCCAGTATTACCATGGTATTTTTAGTGATGTCCTGCAGAGGCTGAACTATAGTACACATCCAGTGCCCTCGTTGAACCTCTTCCGGCAGCAGGTGGAGCAGAAACGATTTTTCGGTAAACTTGCACTGACTGAAATGATATATATGTACATACTTAACTTATTTGTAATTGTCTTTCTTTCCATACTTTCAGCGTTCCATTCTTCCTGTGTCGTACAGCCGGTAATGATCAGTGAAGACACAAAGGATGCCGATTTTAATTCGCTGATGGGCGAGGACGAGCGTGCACTGAAGTTCAAATATAATGCCTACTGCAACAAACAGGTGCATAAGAATCTCATAAATTTGCTGCCATTGTTCGACCGACGAGGACTTTTGGAGGCAAATCAGGCGGATTGATCAGGATGTGGTGGGGTGGTCCGATTTTTGTTTAATGGAGTCCCATCAAAAATGGAACACATGACAGGCTTTACGTTTATATGTCAATTTTCAAAGAAATGCAATATGTAGTAATTTTTCAAATTTATTTCGGACTGGTCCACTGCCAGATTTTAAATAAGCATTTATAAATATCTAACGGAACAACTTGTTAGCGAAATTAAAAAAAAAGAAAAAAATAATAATTTTGAATTTATCAGAGATTATGATTTTTACCAGGATAACACAGGATAACAATACTCAAACGAAACACTAAGTTGTTTTGTCAGAAGTTCACTGATACATAGTATGTATGTATAGTATGCATGTATGTATGTATGTATCTTTGTGCAAAGGTAAAAATGCGATTTCGCTTTTGTTAATTTGTCCATTCAGAAATATGGGTGTATGTCTTTAGGGCAGCTGTAAATTTTTGGATTTATTTGAAAAATATATTGCAATCGTACATATGTATGTACATATGCATTTATGTATCTCGTTTAAAAACAGCTGTTGTTCATAATTAAACTTGAAATTTCTAAAAGCAATTGCGAATTCTAGTTTAATTGAGCAATTATTATTAATTTCTATTTTTCCCACATGCTCGTCTTTTATATATAAAACCATATGTGTTGAATCTTGTATATATGTATGTACATACATACATATGTATATGCACATGTGTTATGCATAACGTTCGTATCCCTACTTTTCTGCAGTGTTATATATGTACATACATATATATATTGTTTTTTTTTTTAATTCACGAAATAGATACTGCTGCTTTTTTTTTAAATACTGCATTTATACGAAATGCTATCAAAATTTTTTTATGCACAGAGGTAGTATACATTTATCCATCGTTGATGTAAAAGGATATACGCTTACAGCTAATTGTTCTTGGAAACACGTTATAAAAATGCATATATGTACATACATACAGTCAAGTGAAATTTAGATCAGTTTAGCTATTTTTATTTTGCTTTTTTTTATGTTTATTAATTTTAGTTAATTATAAAGTACCTAAACACCACATAAACCAAGGAAATAACGAATTTTTTATTCATAATTTTAACAAATGCTATGTATGCAGTTTTATAGCCCATTAAATTGTAGTAAAATAAAGTGCAAGTTTTAAGAGACTAACAGCCGGTTTCACCAAACTATTTAAGTGGAAATTAACTTTAATTTAATTTTGTATTTAATTCTCATTTAAATAATTTTCAGTTTCAATAAACTATTTATTTAAGTGAGTAAAAAGTGGTTGTAAAACAGATATATTGATATTTTTTTGCCGAAAAAATACATTAAAAAATCAACGGTATTTTGTTCCTTTATTTCATTGTAAAACTGTTAAAAAAAAAATCCTAATACTCGTACTCCAAAAAATTTTTTTTTTTAGTTTTTTGCCCGAAAAAAAATACGAGTTATTCGCATTGGGTGTGTAGCTAAAATATTACCAGTGTTTATCTGTAAGGAATACAATGGTTACAAAATATGGACTTTGCATCGGTTATAATTGTTTTCTTATGCACACGCACTTGACACGTTATGTTGTGCGCATAAATGTATAGCCAGAAATCATGCACTCGAGTGCATCTTTTACCCCAGCGAAAGTTCCACTTGAGTCGCATCCCCATAAAAAATTGTGCGACGATGCTCTAAAGAGAGTATTCCGCAATTAGTCTCAATGGGGTAAGTACAATTGGCAATTAATCATTTAGTGATATGTAGGCACTTAGTCAACGAAATTTCATGTACGCCGTTGGCATGTAGAGAGAGCGCGTGGGAACCCGATTCGAATCGAATCTGGCAATGGTTATTTTTTTTTTAAGGGGGACATGAACAGGTCTATTCTGCGTTGGTAACAAAAATTTTGTTACTGGTAAATAAATAAAAAAATAAATAAATTTTGTCATAAGCAGAATTTATACAAAACTTCATAGCTGAATTGCTGCATAGATTAAATTGTTACCAAGGTACTTAGGATTGCGGTTACAAGAAGTGGTGTTATTTTAATATAACCAAATTTTCCGGTGTCAAAATATTCGGTAGCAAGCAGAATAGGCCTGTTAGTCTCTTCATAGGACATAATCAAACAAAAGGGAACATTCATTCCATATCAAGAGATCGAAAGTGGTATTAGCCGCATGTTCCTTTGCGATTGCTCCCGGAGCTATATACGTACATATCCAATAACCATTGGGCTTGGTTAGCAATTCGAAAATGATTGGAAAACCAATCTTTTTTTCGAGTCTTACCTTCGATAACGAATGTGCAATAGGTTAGTATTCAATTTGAGAACTAAGCCATTCTGCAGCAAAACGGCACCTACGTTATCCATTGTATTTTCGCCACGTTATGAGTTCGCAATCCAGCCCATTATCGAATTGAAGTTTTATTGTGAGAGAGCGATTGTCTTCTCTTTTCCTTCGAGAATGAGCTGAATTTCACTTTCTCTCTTTTTACTGTGGTTTTAATTTTTTTCGAACCCATTTCGAGTGTATTTCACTCACAGAACTTCACAGAATTCTTAAAAATCAATAAATTTCGGTCGGAAAACTCTGGTTCTCTTCACAAAAACTTCCAGTAATAATACCCAATTCTTTATTTAACCAACTTTTTAATACCAACGATTTTTTATTGGACTCACAATGCATTTTCTGGGTCTTTTGGTGGACCTATAAAATACAGTTACTATGAAAAAATTGTTAACTAAACAATTGCGTATTATTATTGGGAATCTCCTGAAGAGCAGCAATTCTATACCATTACTACGAGAACTTTAAGCGACCTCTAAATATTTTTTGATTTCATGAAAAAAAACAGGGGTATGTTTTATATATGAGTAGTCCACTTGCAAGCAGCGTTATGTGATTTTCTAATAAAAAGCCACAAATTTAAAAAAACGACTACGACAACAAGTAATATTTCAATTGAACCTTTTCCATTATTACCTGGAAATTTGGATAAATAAGAGCCTTATAAAATTATAACATAACATAACATAACATGACGTTAGATAACATTAACATTCTATACGACCTAAAGCAGTTTTCTAAGTTCATCAGAAGATGTATAGTTTTGAAAGTTTATAAATAAGTGTGATAGCGACTTTTGGAAGAATAGTTAACATTTGATGCTATTTTTTCAAAATATAAAAAGATTATGCACTGTGTTGTTAGTGGACATGAAACTACTATAAATACTGGTACGTAAAGCTCCAAAAACTAAAAATCGAAAAAATTTTACATAGCGCACTATGCAGTAAAATTCCGACTTTACTTATTTTGGACCACCCTAATGTGCACATATGGATATCTCCAAACTGGNCTTTTGTGAATCGAGTTCTGAGTACTTTTCAATTAGTGGACGATATAACGAAAGAAAATTAACTTGTGTGGGTATGTGGTACTGAGCAATAATCTTAGTCCCCCGACTCAATTAAAATATTTCGCCATTTTAAAACGCCTACAACTGATTCTTTTTGCAAATAGGATATTATAATCGGAGCCGAGGGCGAAATGCTTGATCTTGAAAAAGATGGGCTATATTAATGCAAATTTTTACTTGCTTGAACTCATTTAACAATAAAAATGATATCTGTGTATAAATATTACAAAAATTATCTTTTAAATTATTACAAAGTGATAAGGCCACAGTTGTGATAGCATTCACATTTTGCACTCTCATAACAGCTTTCGCAAATGCTTACAAAAGCACGCCTTGGCTGTGTGTGTGTAGAACCACTTTAAATTCCCAAACATTCAAACCGAGATATTTTGCAAAGCGTTAAGTCGCAATCAGATTCGCTATATAAGCCAGCGTCTACTAGAGAAAAGATCCGACTGTAAGAGCAACACTCGCAGTGCAAAGACCAACACTGTTGTGCAACTCGACCTTACTTACTTACATTGCGCTTGCATTTTGTTTTTTTCGTAGAATGAAGGACACAACATTTCACCCAGCGCCACTTTGGCTCACCACGGATTACCTAGAGCCCATTCTACGCAAATACAAACAGGATGAGGGACTCACCATCACACAATTGGACATAAAGCCAGCGACGGCGAAAGGTGATAACTACGCCAGTGTGATGACACGCATCGGCGTCGATTTTCTGCTCAGCAACAAGGAAGTCGAACATGGTTCGTACATCGTGAAGACTTCACATGAGGGCGATCCTGTCACGTCCAGCATAATGAGCAAGTACGATATCTATAAAACGGAGATGCTGATGTATGAGCGAATTTTGCCGAAGCTCATGGAGTTGCTTAGGCAAATCGGGGACAAGGACAAACTCTTTGCCGACACCATTCATGTGGACTACGAGCATTCGGCTATTATTTTCGAGGACTTGGCGGTGCTGCAATTCGTCAATCCTGATCGGCTTGCTGGTATGAATGAGGTGCAAACGAAGTTGACGCTGAAGAAATTGGCTAAAATGCACGCCACTGCCGCTGTACTTAATGAGCGTATGCCCGGAATTTTGAATAAGTTGCAAAGGGGAATCATCAACCGCATCACGTCCGGGTTTTCCCCATTTTTCGAGGGTGTGGTAGAAGCTTGCGCTGATTTCGCAGGAAAGTGCGCAGCTTTGGGTCCATATTACAAGGACAAGTTGCTCAGGCTCAAGCCGCATATTATGGAATATGCAGCGCGTTCTATTGACCCAAAAGATGGTCACTTTTTGACGCTCACACATGGTGACGCCTGGACGAATAACGTTATGCTCAGGTATGATCCGACGAAGCAAGGCAAAGTGATCAAGGATATCATGCTGATCGATTTTCAATTCAGCGCGTGGACCTCCCCAGCTGCCGATCTCCATTACTTTTTCCACACCTCATTGCCATTGGAGTTTAAACTGCATCGCGAAGACGAGTTCGTGCAATACTATCATGGAATTTTGGCGGAGACGCTACGGCAACTAAATTTTGGTGGACATATACCCACTTTGCATGACCTTTGCGTGCAGCTGGAATCTCGTCGATTCTACGGTACGTAAATAATAGCAAAGCTATACATACATACATGCACATGTAGTATTTTTATGTACCTATTATNACGTAAATAATAGCAAAGCTATACATACATACATGCACATGTAGTATTTTCATGTACCTATTATTTATATATGTATATTTGTGCACCTCATTCTCTACAGCTGTCCTCTCGTCACTGACCTGCCAGGCTTTGCTGATCAATGACAAAACTGATGAAGCAGAATTCAATGTATTCATGGGAGAAGGTGAACGTACACGAAATTTTCACAACCTACTGTACACCAACAAGCGGACTCAAGAGAGTGCCATAGCCTTTTTACCCCTCTTTGATCGGCGAGGCTTACTAGATGTAACCGATTAATGAGCGAATGTGTAATGAATTTACATAAATAACATAAGCGGTAAAGAAACAAATTTTACCATGTATGTACATACAATCGGGGTTCCACGGCAAAAAGAAAAAAAAAAATTCAAAAGCCCATGTAACCCAAAATACATACATATATACACATACCTTTGTACATAAGTACTGTATGTGACTAGCTCCGAAAAATTCCGGGCCTATTTTAGATAATCAACAATTAAGAATATAAATAAATACCAGTGACGGATCCACCGGGGTGGTTTTGGGTGCTAAACTACGTCTCAGTCAGTAGCGGACGCACGGGGAGCGTATTAATATGGCGCATATGTACGTATAATATGGCGTCTATATATTGAAACACCCCCCGTGGGTCCGCCACTGATAAATACAGCAATATATTGCTATTGAGGAACTAATTTATAATTAATAAATAGTTTGCGTATCTACATATGAACATATTTTGTTGAATTATTGAATGAAATTTCTTTACATTTTACGAAAATAAAAATAGAATGAAGAACTCTTTAGCCTGAAAAGACAGAATCTTGTGTATTATTTATTTATAAAGCAAAAGGCGTATAAGTATTAATGGATTACGTATTTAGCGTAGCTGAGAGATCAAGGTTTTTAAACATACATGTATACACCTACATACAGAGTAGGCTGCGTCGATTTTGTATGGGGGAAAATAAAAGGCATTTGACCGTTTTGTAATAGTAATATTATGATGTCTTACAGTCTAAGCCAATTGTTATTGGCAACGAAAGATTAATTTAAAACTTATCTTTAGCCCGCGCAATTGAATCAAACGAAACTTTGGCATGTAATATCAAATTAAGGGTTATTCAATTTGGTACCTCGCGTTCAGTTATCATTTTTCAATAAGTCTACAAGTTTTTAAGATATTATGGCACACTTTTCTGGAATCCGGTTCCTTTATTTAAAGGTTATTTATACAATTGAAGAGATTTTTTTTATTTTAGAAAAAAACTGGAGATCCACTTAATTTTTTCGATATAACTTTGGTAAATGTTACTCGATCGATATGTATAATTACCAAATTGAAGGCGAGACTTACTGTTACTGATTTATGATAATAGTATGATGAAAATCGTTCAGATTAGAAACAAATTATTTTCAAATAAAAATAAAATGTTGAACAAAATTTTTAGCAATTTTCCTATATTTGCAATTTTTATATTGTATGCAAAAACATAAGTAAACTAATTAGTGTTTCTAGAAGTTGTGCCTGTTCAGTGTTTCCATACTCATTTTCATAAACGAAATTTTTCCACGATGATGAAAAATAATGGCTTTTCTATAAGAGCTACCGATATTGTTTCTAAATTTGCAAAAATTCGCAAAAGAAGATTAGAATATTTGGTATCAGCGACCTAAATGCACGCCAGCAATGTTAATGCTGTTCTTTACATCTTTACATCAACAAAACAATTACAATTTGGTTGATAAGTTTGAGATAAACGATAAGCTAAAGCGCTGCGAGAAATGATATTTGACTTTATCTTTTGCGTTAACGGATTCATTATCTAACAATATGTACCAAACCTTTTTGCTGAACCCAGAATTTTTAACAAGAATTGGTCGCATTCGACAAGTGTGCTGTGGGTCACTTGGCGGTCGATGCGCAATGTAAGAACAATTAAAATAAAATACTAATATTTTGCAGGCTTATTATTGACTTCATGATACAACATATTTTCACTATTTCCAAGGGATTTGAGAAAAAATAGATTTTCGACCCGCCCTAATTCAGAGCCATCCTTAAACTATTAGGCGCCCGGGCGAACTATGCATTGACGCTCTTTTATATTTGATAATAAAAGATTAATTTAAACTTTGCCAGCAAAACGCCATACGTAAAAGGTATGCCACAATGAGCGCCAAGAAGCTAAATTTTTTTTATTTTTATATAAAAATATCGTCTAAGCTTTAACCAAAACCGTGTAAATCACAGTTTCAATCTTCAAAAAAAATCAACAAATTTACATCAAAATTTCAACTTTTTGTTCTGAATTTTTAGAAAATTTTCGGGTATGCAGTTTTATAGCCCATACAAGCGGGCGTTATTGCACTGCATCCGGCTATTGCATAACGTTGGACTTGGTGCAGGAAAATGCTTTCTTCTATCTACTTATTTCTTATACAACAATAAGTAATGTAGCTCAATGGTGGCAATTTAGAATTTTCAAAACTCTGTAATTTATAAATTTCTCAAACAAGCTACTGGTATCTCTTCAGGAAAATAATATTACAGACAGGCATTTTCAGTTGCAAGAACAATAAGACCAGTGTACGAAAATAAACTATATTGTACGTTACTATTTCGTTTCGTTTATTACTTTAACAGTTCGGTACAATACGAAAACAAAACAGCTGAGTTCACTTTGGCGATAGTACACTACAGTAGTTTAGTAGTTACAGACGAAACAACAAACGAAATGAATCGTGCAGGGAAAATATATTTATGTATGCACATATATGCAATAAACAGATACAAAACGAATGGCTGCAATGATAAAAAAAATAAAAATGTTTTTTAATTGAATTGGATATGAAAATTTACAGAAAAAATTATTTTTCACGTAATTGAAACGTTTGCATACATATAAAACGTACCCTATGGTACAATTGTCACAAACGAAAAGCAAACGTTTCTCGTTGGGGAAAATGACAGTGAATCTTACAATTTGTTTCTGACTATTTACAAAACTGTACAAAACCACAAATGATATGATGATCGATGAGCAAATGGGAATTGTTTTGTACAGTTTATTTTCGTACCCTGAATAAGACACTACTTTTGAATAAAAAAAAATATACTTATATACACTTAGGTCTCTTTTTATGCGAATTTGAATTTATGCGGTTTTTCAAACCATTATTTCGCAGTAGCGATTTTGCTTTTTTGAGAGTTTTTATTACTTTTTTCAGTGTGTAAAAGACAATGCTTCTGATAAATAATTTGTCTTTGTATTCTTACATAATAGCTCTGATCCAGTACTCCATGAACTCACAGGATTTTACACGAACTTGCAGGAAGTTGCAGGAAAAATGTTCCCGTACTCCAAAATCCTGTAAATGAGAGCGACTTTTGGAGAGTTGTGTAGAGAATGAAGTTGCAAGATTTTACCCGAACTTTTTCTTCTGGTAAAATCATGAAAAGTGTCAAGCAATCACTGGTTGACGTTTTTACAGGAAAAATGGTTTCTTTTGTTCCCGTACTTTAATAATAATAATAGATTGGCGCTTACACATAAGTGGAGCTTCTCCTCCGACTTCTGGCGTGCGCCTTAATGTTGTCACACAAACGTGTATTGTGTATTTTTACGACTAGCTGTTTTTCATGGCAGAAATGGACTCGGAGGTTTGGCATTGCCTGCCGAGGGGCGACCGCTGTTAGGAAAACAACTTTTTTTCTAAATTTTTTTTATGTATTCTTACATAATTCATGTATTTATTGTGGTATTTATATATTTTTTTTTGTTAAAGTACAGATAGAATTTTATTTACTTCATTAAAGTTCGGTTTTACATGAAATAATAAGTGTTGAAGTGAAGAAATAAATAGTTTTTTTTTTGCTCAATAATGCCTCACTGGATTTTTTTATGCGGTTTTTTAGAATTTTTTACATGGAGTATCTGAATTTATGCGGTTTTTGAAAATGCTGGAACGCATCCCCGGTTTTTGTATAAAAGTAAAGAACTTTTTTATGCGGATTTTTTTATGCGGTTTTTTAGAATTTTTTACATGGAGTATCTGAATTTATGCGGTTTTTGAAAATGCTGGAACGCATCCCCGGTTTTTGTATAAAAGTAAAGAACTTTTTTATGCGGATTTTTTTATGCGGCTTTCTGAGGAACGCATGAACCGCATAAAAAGAGACCTAAGTGTATATAGCTAACTAACGAACTCAAAAAATGTTCTATCATTCATTTAGGAAAGATAGAAAATATGTATTATCTTTTGTAAAATATACTTCCTAATCCGAATGCATCTTTCAATGACAGCGATGTCTTTGCTTTTACGTATTCGTGCACTTATTCTCATAAATGTTTAACTGTGTTTTTAATTACTGCCTGGTATTAGGGCCCACGTAATTTCGTTATCCATTTAACTAAACACAATATAATTCTAAGTAAATATTTAACGACAATCAGGGAAATTACATACTAATTGTATGGTTGTAACAGTGGCGGATTTAACGGTAAGCAAAAATGTCGGCTGGGCCCCCCAACAGAAGGGGCTCTCACCAGCAACTAGCTCAAGTGGAAAATCAGCAAATTTGCTCAGAAAATATTTTTCGTTTGTGCATTAATCTGCCACATTAACGATAAAACGCATGATTCATCAATTATTAAAGGCTTTGCAAGTAGCTTCTTTCTAAAATTTGACACTCCCACCCACAGTGATGGTTTCTGGAAGCAGGAGATGGATATGAAGAAGCTTTTATTTGTGGAAAAATTATGGAAGTTTGATTCTTTCGCGGTTATGGCTCGATTGTTTCGAATATGGTAATTCGAATTCTTTGATGTTCGAGATTATGTCGCCGTCAGAATATTAACCATTAGCTTACACAGTCGCGATTGGCGCTTCGTGCCGGACGACAGGAGGAATAAAAAGGACACGCAGCTACTGAACGACTGAGACAGTGAACGTGATATACATGATCAAATGAGAAGTGCCATAAGTCTCTTTCGAAGACACCAGCAGACGGATTCCAGCATTCGCTATCGCTAATTTTGATCGCTAAAGGTCTCCAAAGAATAGCAGGCTCGCCTACCAACATGCAATGTTTAGTTGCATGCCCCTCATATTGCCATATTTGCCTGATTTAAGAGAATTTCGTCTTTTTAGCCTACATTGAATTTCTATAGGCCAACGATTATCACCCATTTTGTCTTGTTGTCGCCAGCGAGTGAAGAGTACACATTTCTTAAAAATTAAAAAGTAAAAATTTCCCTACTAAAAGTTTAGAAATGTTCTTAAAACTTGCAAAGAAATTTGGAAAATAAATATCACCGTTTTTGCTTTTAGGAATACGGTGGGAGTGTCATTGATAAAATTAGAGTGAGAGAAAGTTTTTCTTACAAAACTTTTCATTATTAAATCATGGATAAAACGTACAAATACATAAATGTGAAATTTGTAGCAGAACGTTTTCTATAAGAGGAGTTTTGTTGATAAATATACATATCGATACCTGAGTGGAAGATCGACCTTTCTCGGCAGCCAGTTCGTAAACGCCCCATCTCAGTAAACTTTTCAAGAACGCCCTACTTAAAAATTTGATTGAAAAACACCCTATCTCAGAATTTGATTGAATAACGCCCTATCTCAGCTTCTGATTCAAAAACTCTCTATATCAGCACATTTTCAATGTATTTTCAACTGAGATAGGGCGTTCTTAAACCAAATTCTGAGATATGGTGTTTTTCAATCAAATTTTTAAGTAGGGCGTTCTTGAAAAAATTTCTGAGGTAGGCCGTTCCGAACTGGCTGCTGATATAGTTCAATCTTCCACTCAGTATCGACAGGCTAACCAGCAAAAACAATAGCTCAATGAATTTGTTTGATTACCCTCTGGGTATTATCTTGTACTAAACTTACAATAACAGCAACGATATTAAAAATTGAAACACCGGTTCAAAAACGCCCTATCACAGATCCCAGCGCACAACGTCCGGATATTTATATCCACGTATCTTCTAGGTAGCGACCAAACACGTTTGGGATCCGAGCTAAAGTGTGAAGAAGGGATCTTTGGTGCCACTGTCGGAAAATTCAGCCTCCACGACGAAACGTCCGATGACGGACTGAGGCTGATCGACTTCGCCGAGGCCCGAAACATGGTGTTGTGTAGTACTATGTTCTAGCTTTAAAAGATCCAACAAGAAACCAGATCGGCCATGTTTTGATAGACGGAATGCATGCTTCCCGGGTTTTAGACGTACATACGTACACTCTGAGAGCCAAACATCGACTCGGACCACTATCTTGCAGCCAAGATACGCACATGCCTCTGAGCAGAAAAAAAAGAGTGCACCCAGCAATGCAAGGAAACGTCGAAATGCTGCAATCCCTACAGACCACTAATTTATTCGCCACTCTACTCTCACACCTGCACCTGAGAGCACTCTTCAACAAACCGACATACCGAACATATTTGTCGGTTTATGATATATATGTATAACAAAACTGGACCCCGAAGAAATTTCTGACTGGGCCTTTTTCTCAAATCCGCCACTGGGTTCTAAAATGTATGGTATAGTTATCCCGTCGGCAAACTGCGAGAATGCATTATAAAAATAGCATTTATACGACAGCTAATAAATTTCACTCCGAAAAATATGACGAGGACAGTTTATTATAGGATTGAAGAGATAATAACCCTAGGCATAGGACACTGGGCAATGTCTAGGCCGAAATTTTCCTCAAGCGTTGTGAGGCTTAATGTTGTCTTACCAGCGGATCACTCTAAGGCTGGGAAGCGTACCAAAGAGTGAATTATGTTTAAATATAAGGAAATTTCCATAGCTGCGCTGTTGTGAAAAGCTCTTCCCATCACGTAAGTATTTGATGATTAACAGCTCAAGGGAGCTCGAATTTATGCAAATTAATTACTATTCTTTGCTATCGATGAAACAAGTTCTGACAATCTTAGTTTTTAGGTTGGATGCATAGTTACACGCGTTTGAGCATACGGTTAAAACGAGCTTGACACCCACAGGAACTCAAGATTTATCGCTTTCGGAAGACATTTAGTTAAGTTCCAGAAATAACCACTAATGTTTTATACTTTTCGATCCAATTTTATAAATATTTAATTTGCTAATTACAACTTATGTATACATAATATAACAATTGCTTACGTGAGTATGTACTACTTTTATTATATGACGTTTATGGGCGCAGACATATGTATGTCTATATACTATCTAAGGCACATATGTATGTACATGCTAGTGTGCACCACCATCACACACTCCTGCAACGGGCTTTAGGGTATTTAAAAAAAAGGCTCGTTTTGAATTTCTTCAGTTGCATCTGTTTGAACCGGGCGTTCACATCATCATTTTGTAGATTCAAAACAGGGCAAATGAAGGTAGAGGCTTGTAATCCTGCACCCGCTTGGTTAACCAAAGAGTATCTGGAGGCCATATTTCGCAGATATAAAAACGATGACGGACTTCATATCAAAGAAATCGATATCAAGCCCGCGTCCGCGAAGGGTGACAATTATCTCAGCGTTATGACGCGTTTAAAAATCAAATTCCACGTTAGCAGCAACACGACTGAATGTGGTTCCTACATTGTTAAGTCCACCTACGAAGCAGATGTTTTGTCCGCGAAAATCATTAAGGGCTATGACCTCTACAATACCGAAATGGTGATGTACGATAAAATTTTGCCAAAATTGTCACAATTACTTTGTGAAATAGGTGATTGTACTAAGATATTAGCGAATACTATTCATGTGGATTACGACAACTCGGCCATTATTCTCGAAGATCTGGCGGTATTCAACTTCAGGACTGCTAATCGTATTGAGTATATGAACGAGACAGAAACCAAGCTGGTATTAAGAAACTTGGCTAAAACGCATGCGGCTGCCGCGGTGCTGAACGAACGCATGCCTGGAGTACTGAATAGACTCAAAATGGGCATGCACAATCGCTCAACCACCGGCTTCGCCCCATACTTTGAGGGCATGTTTGAAGTTTGCGCCAAATTTGCAGGCGAGTGTGCGGCGCTGGGCCCGTACTACCGAAGCAAAATTCTCCAGCTGAAGCCACGAGTGATGGACTACTGCAGAAGTGTCCATGAGCCACCTCAAAGTTATTTTCACACACTACTGCACGGTGATCTCTGGACTAATAACATTCTTTTGCGTTACTCCGCCGATGGAGCGGATGGCGCTAAGCAACTTGAGGATGCAGTTCTGGTCGATTTTCAGTTTAGCAATTGGTCTACGCCGGCGGTTGACCTTCATTACTTTTTCAATACATCGCTACCAAACGAGATGCGGATAGACCGGCAGACGAGCTAGTGAAACATTACTACAGCGTCTTGGCGAACACATTGACGAAATTGAAATACGAGGCGCCTGTGCCCACGCTGCACGACATCTGTGTACAAATGGAAGCTGGACGATTCTATGGTAATCAAGGGAAATAAGTTTTGCAAATTAGAAAGAAATCCTGAACTCTGGGTTGCCGTTTTCAGGTTTAGCTTCGACTGTGATTCACCAGGCTGTGATGATAAACGACAAGACAGATGACGCTGAATTAAAAAATCTTGTGGGTGACGATGAAAGTGCGTCTAACTTTAGAGCTACCTTATATACCAATAAGAGAGTGCAGGAGAATATCAAGCGTCTTTTACCGTACTTCGATAGGAAAGGACTACTCGATGTTCCCCAATAAAGTGGGTAAAGCAAGTTTTTTTTTTGCAGAAATGAATAATATGTATGTACCTACTTAATCGATGTGAATGAAACAAAAAAAAAAATACATACATATGGTCGATTATTTGACTGGCAACGTTACACTGGTATGTATTTCTTTACAGTATGAATCAACTGTCCATTAAACAACAGAAAAACTGGCTACGTTACACTATTAGGAAGCTCAATGATGGGTCGTGTCAGAATGTTTGAAATTTCTGCGAACTTGGTGAACGAATATTGCTAGTTTTTCAGTATGTCATATACAATTAACGCTGGAGCACATCTGCATACTCGATTACACTAAATTTTAAGCCTTTAATCATTTTTCTCAAATATTTTGGGCACTGGTACGTACGGTGCGCTTTAGTAAGGTTGAACCCAAAAGCGGACATCCAATTTTTTCTCAACATACGTTTCTGTGTCCAATTTCAGGACGTTAGCATAAGCGGTTCCAGAGAAAAGCGATATGAGAATTTCAGTTTGTATGGGAAGTGCCATCCCCACNCATAAGCGGTTCCAGAGAAAAGCGGTATGAGAATTTCAGTTTGTATGGGAAGTGCCATCCCCACTTTCGTTCCCCAGCATAATTAGTTTTAGAGATATAGTGGTTTTCAGATTTTATTCTATATGTCAGATGCCATGCCCCCTATGTATCGGGACTACCTTTAAATCGGTATACGTATGTTTCATTGAAATCGAGCGAACGGTGCCTTCAAAAAAGGGATTGCGAAATTTTCCTGTGGCATACGCCATTTTCCATGGCATAGATGCTAAATGAATAAAAAATGCTTGATACATTGTACGCCGAATGACTGCAATCCTTTGAGAGAAGTGTAACAGAAACATTGTGGTCGATTTATCATTGCTCATGAGAAATCTATTTATCTTCAACCGGTAGACGCAAATGTTTACTAAGTACTCTACATTTATTTCACAACAGGTTATGTAAACGAATAAACCTAAGCCACAGTCACAGGCATTTTACACTTCTGTCATTTCATGTTCGGGTGGGTCTCTCTATTTCATTTTCAATCTCAATTTGTCTACGACACTTTACCAGCGCGCGTCTACTATGTACACACATACGTATTTTTGGTTTGTTTGTCTAAGTACATGCAATCGTACTATTAAAGGCCCGTCCACATACAACTTTGGCATTGCGTTGGCGTTGGAGTTGCTTCGACAGCAGCGCGGGTAACGCCAGTGCTTTGGCCGCTAAATCAACATACATATTATAATTGCATTAAAAACGATATTTTCTGCCCGCATTTGTCTAAAAAGGGAAAATATTTCCCATAATTTTAATTATTTGCAGCAGCTGACGAACGACGCACGGGAAGGGTTGAGAGTTGGCCATCTTTCGGCTTTGTGTTGGCGTTAGCTTTGCCAAATTTCGGCTATGTGGACAACTGCATTTGTCTTCGTGTATTCATAGTCAGCTGTCGAAGCGACGCCAACGCAACGCCAAAGTTGTATGTAGACGGGCCTTAATGCAAAATCCAGCATTCCCCTTTTTAAATTCTCTTTCTCTATTTCGATTGTTGGCTCGCAGATACACTCTCAACAAAAATTCAAGATGGTATTAAAAAAAAACTAAATTTATTAACATCTTTAAAGAAACTTTAATAAAGATGCATTTACATGAGGCGATTTATTGACAGGCAATAATCGCCCGTAAAAGTTGATTTGGTGTCTACCTTGAGGCAAGCAATTTTTGTGCACAAGGGTATATTAACTTTGTTCGCATAACGGTCTTTTGTAACAGCCTAACGAAATCCAAATAGATATAGACATATACCTACTTATATACCAAATGTTCCGAACCCGCCCATCCGTCCGTGTACACGATAACTCGAGGAAAATACGAGATATCTTAACGAAATTTGGTAGATATGTAGGTCGCCGTCACCACGCGAGCAGGGCCNGGGTTTTACTGTAAAACTCCTTTATTTAGACAACTAAAAGCGATAAATTTCGTAAGCTATTTTATAAATAACAATACAAAGTCTACTGAGCAAATCGTTAAAATCTACGCTTTATAAACTTTATCTCCTATACCAGTTTTTGCGATACATCTCCTTTATATAGGAACCCATTTAATTGTGTTACCGGTTTACATACCGATCACACAGCAGTGAAAATCGCTTATATTGCTGCTATATAAGGTATATCATCCATACCTCGGATTGTTTAGATAGGATTTTGTATATATGTAACTCCTCTTTTTATGGATGCTGTGAATATATAAATTTTTTCAAATGCCTCTGATTGTTTAGATATGATTTTGTATATATGTAACTCCTCTATTTATGGATGCTGTGAATATGTAAATTTTTTCAAATGCAGTAATCTGTTAAAGTAAAATTTTCAGATGTTCATGAAAGGTATTTTAACATTTTGTTTTGAAAACGTCAGCTCATAATGGAGGTAGTTAATTTTGTTATATTTGTATCAAAAATTTAAATTGTAACTTCCAATCTGTGTAACCAGATGATGTAAGAAGTCATTAACTCAAAAGCGATTTCTCCCTCCAACTTATTGACCCATCCTAATGTCAACATATCGCTTTTCTCAGAACATACATTTGCTTTGTTATCAGGTCTCTCCAGCTACTGCTAATATCACAAGTGGTGCTATAAAAACGCTTTTCAATGACTAAATCTTTTAGTCTGGTCGCAAGATTTCACTGCTTTGGTTGTTAAGGGCGGCACTCTCACATTTGATTCGAATCAAGATGAAGAAATCTTTTGAATCCGCTTCTGTTTGGCTAACGAAGGAATACTTCGAAACGATTCTTCGCAAATACAAAAAAGATAGTAATCTTACAGTCACAAAAATAAACTCCAGTTCGGGAACATCAAAGGGCGAGAGTTTTATAAGCACTTTGACGCGATTCAAAGTGGAATTCCTTTTGTCAAACAACAAGGTGCCGCAACATGGATTTTACATTGTAAAAACAGACTACGAAGGCGATCCAGTCATTGATAAATACATGAGAAAGTTTGATGTTTACAACAGAGAGATGTTGATGTACCATCAGATTTTGCCACAAATGACTACGCTCTTGCGGGATATCGGAGATGAGGACAAGCTATTTGCCGATACAATCCATGTCGATTTCGAGCGTTCTGCCATTATTTTTGAGGATTTATCGCCTTCACACTTTGTCGTTGCTGATCGCATCGCAGGAATGGATGAAGCACAAACAAGGTTAACACTGAAGAAACTAGCGAAATTCCATGCCGCTGGTGCGGTGTTGAACGAACGAATGCCCGATGTTTTGACAAGTTTGCAAGGAGGATTCCTCAGGCGCACAAATCATGCCTTCGAACCATTTCATCAAGGCATGATTGAGGCCTGCGCTAATTTCGCTTATGGCTGCCAGGAGTTGGGTCCCTACTATAAAGCGAAATTGCTTAAACTGAAGGAGCACATATTTGAATATTCTGTACGTTGTTACGATCCCAAAGAAAGTCATTTTTTAACACTTATTCATGGTGATATTTGGTCAACTAACATAATGTTTTCGTTTGAATCGAATGGCCAAATGAATGGCACTAAAACTGTTAAGGATGCCCGACTAATTGATTTTCAGTTCAGCAATTGGTCATCGCCAGCAGTGGACTTGCATTATCTGTTTAACACTTCGGTTGCAAATGAATTGCGTATAAATAAGCAGGATGAGCTTATACAGCATTACCATTCGATATTAGCGGATATGCTTCGGAGGTTGAGCTATGCCGGGCACATACCCTCATTACATGAGCTCTGTGTACAACTGGAGGATAGACGATTTTATGGTACGCTTATGATTTTTGACTATTTTTGTTGTGTTTGTTGTATGAAATAATTAACGCCTGTTTTTATTTTAGCCTTTACAGCAGCGATAGTGAATCAACCTTTACAAACAAGTGAAAATACTGACGACGCGGATCTTAAAAATTTGACCGAGAGCAGTGAACGATCCAGAAATTTTTACAAAGTATTATATAGTAACCCGAAAGTACAAAATGTTACCAAGACAATGTTGCCGTTTTTCGATCGCAAGGGCCTCCTAGATATAACTGATTAGATAAATAACACTGGCAAAATAAATAAATAAAATAATAAAAAATATAATCTAAACTAAATGAAGCGATTACATATTACATAATTAACGAAGAGAGATAAATTTACTATCAGTATATATATCGCACACTTAACTGTCTGATTACTGAATGCTCTTTTCGCTACGCTACATTAAAATGNCGATTACATATTACATAATTAACGAAGAGAGATAAATTTACTATCAGTATGTATATCGCACACTTAACTGTCTGATTACTGAATGCTCTTTTCGCTACGCTACATTAAAATCATGCCATTAACAATTATACAAGCAAACATACGTACATGCAACGCCATCCAAATATGCAGTAAAACGAAATCGATGCAAAAATATTTGATTGAAAAGCAAATGAGACTGGTGGTGGACTTAGTAGTGGTAAATATTCAATTCCACTTTTCTGAAACAGTATAAGGAAACCTTTCCATTTTCCTGGATGGATGATAATGACGGCGACATTTTGTTTTCTTTTTTATGTTTTATTGACAGATAAATTAGATGACAGTTTAAAAGTCCCAACCAGCGTATTCCTTAACTACGTCCTTATTTTCTTTGCGATGTCTATGTACAGCACTTGCTTCGCCTTTAGCCACACAATGCTTGCGCATTTCCCGTCTTTCTTTTGCACCTAGGTTTTTTCTTATGCGATCAGTTACCACGGATGGCGCTATTGTACTCGCAGTAGTTGAATATGAACGTTGGCTACGTGTGTCGTTCAAGAGCTTCTCTACCATCTTTAGACGATACATGCGTGAATTTGGGTCAATTTTATCTAACTCTGGTAAATTGTCCGTTTCCAAATCATTTGAGCTCATAGATACAGCATCATCATAGCGATCATCGTCGCTGGCGTCTAATTCCGAGTCCGATTTGTTGCCACGATCCACTTCATTTGAAATGTTATTTGGCTGAACGGCGTTGATTTCACTTTCGGAAGGACTAACGATACTTTTTTGTTGCATTTCATTTTCCGGTGCGGCTTCTTCAGCTAGGCTTATGTTTGCCAAATATTGAGAACATGATTCAATGTAACGACGAATGGAATCGTCGGGTTTTTTTGTACTTTTCGTTTCGCTAAAATTTACTTCGTTTTCAAGTTGTCGACGATACGCTTTGAGTTCATCATTTCTATAATTCTCCGTGGGGCATTCCTTAAGCTCGTGTTCACTATTATCACTATCCCCTTCCTCGTCGATCATACCATACTCCTGAAAATCATGACCAAAAATAAACGATTATCGAATTTGCAAAAGGTGAAATATTAACACAAAAGTTCACGGAAATAAATATAAATATACTGTCGATATTCACACTTGCTTGGTTATCAAGTTATTCGGTTAAAAATTATTTTTCTATAGTGTATTTTATTGTTGAAATCTGAATAAAATATATAACCACATAGCTTGAAAGTTCAGTACACCAGAGCTATTATGTAGGCATGTATTGGTACAACTTTGCAATAACCGCTTAAACCTATATCCACTTTTTTATTTAAACTCCATGAAGTTATTTAATGAAATTTCATTAGATTATTGAGATCATTGAGCCTTCTGGAGAAAAAATTAACAATCGCTTTTTCTTAAAATTGCAGACCTTTTATTTAAATTTGTTTGAATAAATCGAGTAAAAGGTCTGAAATTCCAAGAAAAAGCAATTACTTGGATTTTATTCATAAGGGCCATTGACTGTTGTCAGGATTTTCACTTTCGCATTTATTTGGCTATGGTACTTAAATTGTGCATTGAATGGTGGAGTATACTAAAGCGGTTAATACAATTTAGCACAAATTGCATCGTTCATTTACTAGAAGAATGTCAAACCTCAAAAAACGCTAATGTTCTGGAGATGCATTTGAAGTTGCCAATTATTGTCACTGGTAATGCATATACTCGAAATATAAACCATGAAGCATAATATAAACGAATAATTTTGAATCTCATTTTTTCAGTTATGACAGTCGTTTAGTACATGATGCTCATATGGGCAAGTGTCATAATAAAAATAAATAAAATTGAGCGTATTTGAACTACAAACTTTTAAGGCGTTTGTCTAGTTTTTAATTTTTAGGATTATGACGCTCTAGCTACAAATGAGCGATGTGTATATATGTACTACTAGGGTACAAACGAATATAGTACTGTTACTCCCAATGCTAAGTATTATAAATTATAATTTAATAACATCTGAAATCAACATCATTCAAGCATTGTAAGGGCTCAGTCCAAGTCGAAAGATATACGGCCAATTCTCGATTACTTCGAACTTTCGCATGACACATCATTTTCGCTGGTTTATTAACAAACATCAGGTTACATATCGTCACGTTTCTGCCTTAACCACGTACCTACAATTTTTGGGAAAACTAACATTACCACTTATAACAGCTGTTTAAACGTCACACTATTTGAAAATAGAACTAAGACTTCTGAGATACTTCGCCGACCTAAACGGGGTTAGATCGCCGAAACAACAGCCCTTGGTCGGGTAAAACCCGAGTCATTCCGGTACGTAGAACCGGCTGTCGTGGGACTAGTAGGACGCAGTGGACGAAGCTACAGACTGTACAGAACACCGCACTCAGGACAGCGACAGGATGCCTCCTGATGTCGCGCGAACACCATCTACACAGAAGTGGCCACCCAAGCAGACAGCTGCTTGCAGAGGAGCCCTCGCCTAGGCACGTCAGGAGGCATCTATATGAACTGACAGACGAAGTCCAGAGGGTCATCAAGCAACCTCTGGACCCGACAGCTTACCGACAGGCCCTGAACGGCATTCACAGGGACTCAGTCTCGAGTTATGTAGACTCTAGACCTGTGAATGCCGTTCTAGGCATACCACCCCCGGACATAGACGAGACGGAGCTTCATCTGCCTCGGGAGACTCGCACAACACTTGCACAACTTCGCTCCGGCTACTGCAGCAGGTTGAACTCCTACCTGAGTAGGTTGAATGAGGATGTGCCGAATGAGTGTCCGGCATGCGGAGAGACCCCACATGACTCGAAACATCTCTTCGCATGCCCGGAAAACCCGACAACCCTAACGGCCTTGTCCCTGTGGACAAACCCCACAGAAGCTGCACGCTTCCTAGGGTTGCCGTTAGTGGAACTTGACGACAACGACTGAGATACCAACCGTCCTGGGCGGGGTTGTTGTAGCCGCTACAACAACAACAACAACAACAGAACAAAGACTTAATTAGGGCTCGCACTACTGTTAGTGGAGACAGAAATATTAAGTAAAAAATGCGTTTATTGTATCCCAGGGGAAGAAATTAAGCATTTTTTCTTACACTCTCTAAAATACCTCCATTGCAGATACGAGGTTAAGGCAGAAACGGGACGATATGTTGTGTAGATTATGTAAATGCAAAACAAGGACTACCGTACATATTTTCTAACCAAATATGCATATAATTCAGAAATTAAATTGAGAAATTTTCAGAAACAAAAGTGTGACTCTCCCATATATGTAATACTTCTATATTGGCAGTAAGCTAACTTCTCAATGTGTAAGCATTCCGAAATCAAAGCGAGACAGTCTAGTTCCGTTTTTGTCAATGTATTGTGTACTTGAGTGCTGTTTTTGTATATGTGTTGTGTACATGTTTATTTATAAACGTATGTGTTCCTTTTCTTTCNTTTATTGATATATCTGTACTGTAGTGTTTTCGGACGGTACTAGCTCTTACTGCCAATATAGGAGTAATAGGACTATTATATATTAGTCTGTTCCAATAGCAGTCCGGTTTACAGGATTTAGTCAGAACTTACAGGAAGTCGTTCCTATTGACATAAAACCTGTAAGTGGGAACACATTTGAGAGAGTAACTGAGCAACTGTTCCTAGTCAGAAGTTACAGGATTTAGTCCGGAGGTTTTTTTCCTGTAAGTTCATGAAAAGTGTCAAACGATCAGCTGATTTACATGTGCAAACAAAAAAAATGAAAGCAGTGAAAGCAAATAACCTTATATTTGTTAAAAAATGGAAGTAAACAACGAAATATTTGAATATGTATAGATTTTAATAATTATTTAGTGAAATTTCAGCCAAATCAGTGTAGTACCAATTACATGTNGAAATGTGCTAGTCTTCCACGCGATTAGTGAAATGTGCTAGTCTTCCACGCGAGAATCTGAAATGTGCTACTTTTCGACGCGAATAATGAAATGTGCTAGTCTTCGACGCGAATAGTGAAACGTGCTAGTCTTCCACGGTAATTTGAGATGTGCTACTCTTCGTTGGGAGCGACGATATGGACTCTCCTATAATTTTTTTTACTTTTACGTTGCAAAATTTGGTGCGTTGATATTTGGAGAGGAGAATCGAATGCAGGCTGTTAGATTAGATTACTTGCTTGCCGTGCTTGCAATAGAAAAGATGTTATGAAGAGTTTAAATTCCGACGATCGCGGCTTTTATAGTATACTGTAGCTAAAACTGTTGTCGGACAACTTTTATAGTGTTCTGGAGCATAAAAGGAATCAATCTAGACGTGGCCGGCTTATGTGCTCTCATTAGAAGATAGTTCAAAGAACAACATATTTAAAAGGTTACGATGCGCGCACAAAAGTAAAAATGCATATTTTTTATTAGCACATCGTCTGCATTTAGAAAATTTAGCCAAATACGTGTGTGCTCTATTGTTCAATATACTATTGAACTATGATCCTCGTGCACCACTTTCTTATTTCTTCATTAAAAGGTTAGCGAAAAAAAATACGAAAAGTCCCCAAAAAAAACCAATATATATAATACCCAAAGGCATTCTATATCCATGTCATCGAATCTGCACCGTTCGTTCGATTTTTGAAAATGATGTGTCAAATGAAAAACCTTTGGCTGTAAATGTAAGAACTTACCGTTGATTTTTTCCAATTTGTTGGTTTTTTTTTATATGAAAAAAAGAAATTCCAAAAATCAACGGCAAGTCCAAGGTACTTAAAATTTGCAATTCGCTTGTTGAACTGATTACCAAAATTTTGTCTAAAGACGCTGATCAAGAAGTAAGGAATTTTGGTCAAACTTTGCAGTTATTTCATAATTTTTTTTGTTAATTTGGATTTATATCGTGTTTGTTAAGTAATCAGCTATACTTTCATAAAAAATAATAAACATTAAATAAACTAAAGAAAAGTAGCCAAAATTTACTAAAATGTCGCGTCCCCGTTTTTATTTGGTTTACTGAGTGTGTATCTCGGTAACCGATTTATCGAAATCGGACTGAAATTGCGCCCACTTTCGATTTCCAAAAAAAAAACGTACGGTGCGTTGCTTTGAAATGTTACACCACGTTGGATGTTGTAATTCTAGCAACTAAAGGAACGTATATTAAAAGTTTCAGACATGTGCTCACGATAAAAAAATTATAATTTTTGTTCACAAAAAACTCGAAGTTTGTGCGAATTGCCCATATCATATGAAAAACATTTGGAATGTTTATTATTTTCACAGAGAAACAGGACACGTATATTAGGTGTACAAAATAGGTTTCCTAAAAAATATGAAATGTGCACTTTTATCTTCTTTATGATGAAGCACATTAAATCTTTTAATTCCAAAGTAGTAAATGTGAACTAAATATAAGTATGTAGTAATTTGAGTTCATTGTTAGTTTTGATTTAACTTAGTAAATAAACCATGCGTTATGTCTCAGCCCGGTCACAAAAAAATAGCGTTTCTGCACTTTTTTATTTGAAGTTATAAACAAGTAATTTTTAAGCAAAAAATAAACCCGACTTCAATTCTTAAATAAAAATTTAAGAGTACCGTTAATTTCTTCAGATCCAACGATCGGATCTAAACCAAATTACTATGGGACCACCTTGGTACTACCACCTTTCCTTTAAAAAATAATAATTATAGAAATCGGTTAACGTGGTCCAAAGTTATACGGTAAAATACATAAAAAAATATTCTGACGAATCGATAACTTCCTCCTTTTTTGAAATCGGTTAAAAATTAATAAAAATTCATTCGGTGGAATTGTGAGCCATACCTGCAAAATATCTCTTTCCATTTCTTTGGTGACACCGTAGCCGGTACAATGTACTTCAGCATCTAAATCATCTTCGCGTTTCAGGTCCGAAAATTTAGGAAAATCTTCACTTTCATAGCCAAACTTTCTGCGAAACATTTCACGTACACAATTAACATCACGATTGAAAAAACTAAATAACAAACACGATTAGATCAAGAGACCGCGTATTCAACTTTGTATCTTACAATTCAGCGTTTTCATGTGAGGTGGACATCATCTGGGGAAAATCTATTAAAACTGGTTTTCCATCATCAGCGAGCAGCAAATTGAACTCATTAAAATCGCCGTGAATGACACCAGCATTGCCAAGACGAACTATTAGGTTCATTAGATCATCATATACTTGTTCGACGTCGACCAATTCCTGTACCTGAGTCCTGGGTATTAAGATGTACGATGATTAACTACAATTTTACCTACTTATCTACAAATCGAGGGTTTATATTTAATATGATCTATCTGCAGTTTCACAAAAATGTGATTCCCATACAAAAATCCACTACTCACTACTTAAATGCCATCAATGATGTTAACGCTGACCATGTATATATATAGGTGTCATAAGAATTAACTATTGATGGATTCTAATATCGGAAAGCAGTGTTTGTATAAACTGCATATAGGTCCTATTGAATATAAGCCCTCGATATATAATTCCGTTATAACTTACATTGGCCAGCCATTGACAAGCGCCATTAACACGCAATGTCGATTGAAATCGATTGGTTTTGGTACTGGAAACCCGCGATCATATAATGCACTCATGTAGGCGAATTCGCGCGTTGCTGATATGCGGGATAAATATAACCAAGAGGCTTTATGACGACGCCCATGGTAATCTCGCTTCGACTTAATATTGCGAAAACAAGTCCGACCGAGTCTGTGCAACTTCAAACAAATAGGTTGGCCTTCCTCGTCAGCAACGACATAAATATTGGACTCTTTGCCTACACCTATTTGGTTGCCGAATGAAGAAACAGAGCCCCGCAAAGTTAGGGATTTCAAAGCTAAATAATCGTAACCGGTGTTCGTAAGGCGGTACCCATCATCTGCGGAAAATGCACGATATGCTTAAACTGAGTGAGGTGAATTAAACAGTAATCTTACATTTCTTTCCGCGCTCGTACGAAAGTAGTTTGTGCTTGCAAAGCTCCCGAAGCAGTTTATGCACTCCGCCGGCCTTTAAATTGGCAATAGATGCAGCCAATTGTCCGGGTACAAGCTCGTGATTCTTCATGCCCATCTCAACCTGAAAAGGATTATATTTTAGCGTCCTGATACACATGCGAGTCGCTTATCTGATACAAACCGCTGTGAGCACACGAAAATCCTCTTTAGTTAAGTATCGCAGCACTGTGACGTTAAGCTTTCCCATATTACTTTAGTTTAGTTCCTTGACGATTACCGAGATGTATGTTTTATATTCAGTTGTATAAATAATATAGATTTTAGAAACAACCAAAAAACACGTTGCACAGAAAGAAAACAAACGCAAAAGACATTCTTTAAGCAGGGGTGCATTCCTACTACAATCAGCTGTGAAATAGACAGCATACTGAACACGGCGTCATCTGTCTTTCAACTTTAACCGGTAACCAAGAGTCAATAGCTTTGTTCCACACGTTTTCCGGGCTGCTCCGGTAATTGGAGCGTAAAAATAAGTTACTCTCTGTCAAAAGTATTGGGCAAGACTATTTGTATAAAGCTTTTTGTAGTAATATTTGGAATATTTAAAGTTAAAATGAAAACGTCAACATTCAAATTTCTGGGAATTGGGCAAGACCACAGTATACTGTGGGCAAGACTATTTGTATAAAGCTTTTTGTAGCAATATTTGAAATATTTTAAGTTAATTTTCCAAATTCCAAAATGTAAAAATTTGTCCTTACCAAAATTTCTATTGAAGTTTTGTTGTTAATATTGTTTTTAAACATTCCATTTCTTGCAAATCTATGTCGTACTGTAACCTTACTTCCTTTGGAATTTATATGTAAAGGAAATGTGAACTATCTTAGCTTGGTATGTGGTGCGCCTTCAGTGATGTACATACCTATTAATGTGCAAAGTGTTAATTCTTTAATAGAAAATGACACCAATATTCCGATTTCATTTTTTTAATTTTGTGTCTATATTTGGAATATCGAGTCTTTTTATTACGATATTTTTACAGCCCGATATTTTTAAAGCGATACTGTAAATGAGTACTATATCGATACTTTCGATTCGATATCGTATGTTACTTTTGATTTTCCAGTGGTGAGTAACCGATTGTCAAAATTTTCTTCCTCGAACGCTTGATGTAGGCAAAGTCGCCCAAATTTTTACGTAGAACGTTATGCTTTCTTAAAAAATAGCACTGCCGCATCAATTGCAGCTCGAATAAACCAATTCTATCCAATTTTTTTTAAATGCCTTAACTGGGTGCATTTTACATACGCATATAAGTAGAAAAACTTAGAAATCTCTCACGCCCTCGTGAAGAACAAAAACATTTCCCTGTATTATTTTACTTACATATTTTGGAGATCGTAAAATACCACCAATAAAGTGCAGCACAAATCACAATTTTTATGAGAGAAAAATGTTTGAATTTCAATAATCAGGTTTTGCAATCTTCCTTCCTGTATGCATCTTCTTCCTCTGCACATCTTACGATAACTTTTTTGTTTCCGACATTCGATTCGTGTAGCGCTTTCCGGAAAGCCTGCTCCACCTGGTGCCATTCAAACACTCGTGAAATAAGCCGACCAATGGGCGCCTTACCACAATCAATCAAATTCAGCGCAGTCGGAAACCTGAAGATGGCAAAAAATGGTATGTGCATTAACACATCTGTACATACATATGTATGTATATATGTAGCTACATATATATACATCGTCGCCATCAATAGCAGATTTGGCAAATTTAGGCTTTCTGCACATTGGTCGTCCAATCATAGTTGCTTCATCGTCACAATCATAATGCAACGGTTACATGACGCCTACCCTTTCGCACACTCGGTCGTGATATTTCAATTCATTTGGCGTCTAAAAATTCACTTGGAGCAGGTATTTTTTTGTTTTTCTGGTTGATATATTCGTGAAATATTTACAAAAACTTGCAATTTTTAAAATATAGACTGTGCTGCAACAATTCTAGACATCATTTTTCAGTAATATCTACGGTGACCATATTAACCAACGTAAAATAAAGGACATTTTTTTTCAAAATGATTTGGAAATACGTACATACAACTTGTATGACAAAAGTACCTTGCCCATATCGTAATTTAAGTCAAATATTTACCATTTAATTATATTATTTAATTATATAAGTTCCCCTGCTGTGGCGAAAAATGAAGCCAAATCCTTTTCAAGGACTTCGCCATCCTTTGCTACCAAAATGCGTTTACCATAATTCATACTGCACGACGAAGCCAAATTCAAAATTCGAATTCAATGTTCATAATCCACTGGAGCCTTCACTTTTCCACCAATTTTAGTAAAAACCAAAAAAAAAATATTTATTTTGGGGAACATTTTTTTATAACATTTCAAAATTTTTTTTGTGTATNTGCCCATATCGTAATTTAAGTCAAATATTTACCATTTAATTATATTATTTAATTATATAAGTTCCCCTGCTGTGGCGAAAAATGAAGCCAAATCCTTTTCAAGGACTTCGCCATCCTTTGCTACCAAAATGCGTTTACCATAATTCATACTGCACGACGAAGCCAAATTCAAAATTCGAATTCAATGTTCATAATCCACTGGAGCCTTCACTTTTCCACCAATTTTAGTAAAAACCAAAAAAAAAATATTTATTTTGGGGAACATTTTTTTATAACATTTCAAAATTTTTTTTGTGTATTTTTTTGTTTTGAGAGAACCATACAATTATTTTCAACTAGCTTTTGTTATGTAACATTTATTAACTGGAACAGAAGAATACATTTTCTTCAAAGCTGCTACTGTTTGTGCATTTTGCACTAAAAAATTTAATATAATCAAATTAAAATTCAGAAATCAGGCTCAACTGGTCTCTTGCAAATATTGTAAGCTTTCATAAAAAATAACGATTAATCAAATTAAGCGAAAAATGAAGTGAATGAATGCCAGTTTTGAACCACTGTGCAGCAGGGGGTTTATTGTTCTCTTTCAGTGGAACTGTGCTTTATAGATTGTACAAAGACTACCGATTAAATAGAAACCCTTAAGTGGGGTGCAAAACAAACAGGCGAAAGCTTTCATTATATTTTATAAGGGACATTTTTATTTTTCATATTCTGCGTTTAAAAATTTACCTCTGAAAAATGCAGAGCCGATTTAAAGGACAGTTTAAGAAATAAAGGACAAAAGGCGTCCTTTATTTTGAAAAAAATTATAAAGGACAGAAGGTTAAAATAAAGGACTGTCCTTTAAAATAAAGGACGGATGGTCACCGTAGTAATATCTCTTCTTTTCTTTTCCTGAAATGTGGTTTGAGCATGCAAACAGAGGCTTTTTACAATTTCGTCATATTTTTTAGTTAAAACGCTCACATTTATTGAATTTTAATGCAATTAACCACTTTTTAATAATTTCCACAGCTTTTATGCAAAAAATGTTATTTTTTGCAATTTTAATGCAAATATTAAATTTTTCACTAATTTTTCCCCATAAAATGTAAACAAACAATGCGTGCACAACGATTAGCAAACGACAATTTGCCGATAATGGCAAGTGTGCCAATCTCCTTTGAAATGCATGTGCTCGGCTCAAAATTTCAGGCCGAGTAGTTGCGTTAACTATGATTGGACGACAAGTGTGCAGATAGCCTTAAAGTTTTACAGGAAAGTGGTGTTATTATAAAATCTGTTTTGATTTTTTCTTACCCGCCTTGGTAACCTCCACGCTAAAAACCAAATGCATGTAACTTTTGTTTTTGTATTTTTGAGATATACCTTCGAATTTCGGTATAAAGGCGTTTCTGAGAGCCAACTAACGGAATACATATCGCTCATTTACTTCAATACTGTCATAGCTCAAAAAACCGAAAACTCGAGAGGAATGGCTTAAAATTAATACATATCGCACGTTTAATAATAGGAGTGTACTCGTATGCAAAACTATCAAAAGTTTTAGAAAACTTTTACTCGTTTTGCGTTCTCGTACCCAAAAAACTTGCAAAGTAGGGAAATTGAGAGAGCAAAATGAGATAGAAAGCTGCAAGTTTCTGCTGGAAAAATTTTTCCGAGCGAAACCTTGCAAGTAAGAAAATCAGCTGATCACGAACATATGTTTGTTATAAACAAGAGAAAATATGATCTTTTTGAATTAGTTATTGCAAATTTAATTATTAGGTACAATCCCGTATTCCTCGGACTCGGACTAGTAAAAAAATAAAAATTCGCTCAGAGCGTGAGAGTAACATTGAAAAGTACGTTATCGCTTTCTACATAGTAAAAAATGGTAACTTCTGTCAACTTCAACATAATCTCCAAATTTTGGTTGTAAATAACCAAAAATACTTTCAAATTTTTTCACTTTTCTTTTGNCAAAAAATAAAAATTCGCTCAGAGCGTGAGAGTAACATTGAAAAGTACGTTATCGCTTTCTACATAGTAAAAAATGGTAACTTCTGTCAACTTCAACATAATCTCCAAATTTTGGTTGTAAATAACCAAAAATACTTTCAAATTTTTTCACTTTTCTTTTGTTTGGTTGCCAAACACTCTACAGCTGATCGTTTGACACATTTACCAGAATTTACCAGTAAAAAATTCTCGGACTAAAACTGGTAACTTCTGACAGAGAGAGAACCAACCGTATTTACTCTCTTTTTTGTCCTCTCAACTTGACTACGGATGTTAATTTTTCGGCTTTTTCCGATTCCGGGATTTTCGGGATGGCGTTGTCACAATCTTGGGATCCCGGGANAGTAAAAAATTCTCGGACTAAAACTGGTAACTTCTGACAGAGAGAGAACCAACCGTATTTACTCTCTTTTTTGTCCTCTCAACTTGACTACGGATGTTAATTTTTCGGCTTTTTCCGATTCCGGGATTTTCGGGATGGCGTTGTCACAATCTTGGGATCCCGGGATTTAGATATTCATTACTTTTCAATAACTTGAATCGAAAAAATTGCTTCTATACTGTTTGAGAATCTCTCCCACCGTGAAATAAATAAATGGGTTTGAAAGCTACTTTTTTATTTAAAGTGGCGTTTTTATTTTTTCTCTCTGACCGCAGGATTTATTTTGAAGGACTTTGTAATTTCAAAGATATGATTAATTCAAATTGTTAAAAAAATTCAATGCAATGTAGAATAAAAATATGGGTAACAAGTGCAATAGGAAATTTCTTTAGAATTTAAAAAATTTAAATTTTTTGGATTCACCAGGCCGAATTGGTAATTTTTAAGCTGACATAGTTAGAAGAACGAAATTCGAGGATATCGAGTTTATATAAGCCCTTAACATATAATTTTTTAAAAACAAATATTGCCAAATTTCAAGGATAAAATTGTAAATTATATTTTCAATATTTACCAGCCCTTCTGCACCAGAAACTTGAATCTGTTTAAATTCTACAGGATTTCCTTATTAATTTTATACCCATACTTCATCTCTAATCACATTTCTCTGAATTTTTTAAATCATTTTTGAATTACTGACGTCAGAGAGAAAAACTAAAATCGCAATTTTACTATATTTGGCCCAGGGTTTCGCAAATATATTGATATCTGTGTTTAAAATTTACTATCACGCGGTGTTATATGTACAATGAGCTAGACATTTATAAAAAACAATATTAATCATTAAATAAAAAAGAAATATAGCCAATACTGGTCAAGAAAAGGAGTTTCTATTATTGCCATCAGTGCAAATTACAAGGCCCGAAAATCCCGGGATTACTTGCCAAGAATCCTGGGATTTTCGAGAGCTTAAAAAGTCCGGGATCCCGGGCTTAATAACATTCTTAGTGCTGACTATGGTTGCCGTATGTAATTTTTCGTTTGTACCATAATTGTCCTTTATTTTTAAATATACCAAAATAGATAAAAATATAGCAAGCTGAAATTTTGTTGGCCGAATTTGTCAGTTTTGGTAGGTTGATTGTTGAAATTAGAATTGATTGTTGAAATTGTATGCAAAATAACGTAACATCATCGTCGCTGAAATGCAAAAAGTCATAGCTTATAAAAAATTCAAAATTCACAATTTGATTGCTATTTAATCAAATTACAACTCCCCACATCGTTTTATGAAAAAAAAAAAAAATTAGTCACGACTTTTTCCATTTCAGCGGCGATGTTGTTACGTTATTTTGCGTTTCAGGTGACGATATCTACTAATTTTTTTTTTTTACCAAGGATGGGTGTTTGGAGGATGATCTCTTATTTTTGAATGTGCCATGATGTGGGATCACAAATAATTTTGAGAAAAATATTTCATTCATTCCGTTATAATTAATTTATACTTTATGAAGGTTTTTCGATTCCAAAGTATGCAATTGCATAAAATGCAGAATTGTGGCAAATGTACTAAGCACAAAATAAATTGCCAAATTACCCACCAGTGGCAACTCTGGAAGTGATCAGCTGTTTCGAAGGTTGCAAGTTTTTGCAAATTTTGCGTTCTCGTACTTTTGTGGATATTTTGTTTCTTCGAGAGAGAATTTTTTCCTCTCAATACGATTACACACCTATTATAAAGAAGTACTTCAAAATTTAAATTTTGTGGGAAAACGCAATCAAGGTCCAAAGTTATGCGGTAACATACATAAAAAAAAATATTACGACGAATTGATAACCTCCTCCTTTTTTTAAGTCGGTTAAAAAGCCAGATGGAAAGACCTTTGCCATATTTAGGAAGTTTGGCTATCTGTTAGCCTGAACATATTCTACTTATTAAGCTAATTTATTGCAAAATGAAATCTCCAAAAACGTAAATTTTGAGTTACATATCTATATCATTAACCGTGCGATATTTTGTTCTATGGTATGGCAGTTTTCTAGTAAATTAGCTCTATGTATTTACAAAAACCCGTATTTTCGAACCTGTTTCTTTGCATTGATGAGGACGGTATTTCGTTACGTTAATTCAAAAAGGGCCTAAGCAGCAAATTTTCTTTTTACCTGGGAAGCAAAACACATAAAAAGAAAATCAAAAACTGCAGATAGGGATTTTCAAAAGGTGGCATAACTCCGTTGTTTTTGGTACCAACGATTTCAAATTTTTATCGAAGGTCTATTAAAACGAAGTTTCGAAAAAAGTATAGGTTAGGGCCTTTGTGAATTAAGGTACCGATTTGTGCATTTGTATGTATGTATTAAGAATATAGTTACCTACATGTTAATGGAACGGAAACTGGGAAGCAATTTCAGGTTTTTCATAATCACGTCCATTGCATTAAAGCATGCACATTCTGTATCGCATTCCGCTAAGACGCAAACGCCGCACGGCTTCAGTGCCATCACTGCTAAATTCAGGGTCTTCTCGGAGACGGCGCAGTTTATGACAGCATCTGGCCAGGCGTGCAACGTGCTATACAAACACTTTAATATCAGGCCGTACTGCAGGTCAGCCTCGTAGTTCATACAGTTAAAGTGAAACGTATTCTGAATCACTTCAAGAGGTTCCCTCATCGTAGACGCCACACAGATGTTGCCGGCACCTATAGCCCGTGCGCATAGTGCCGTCGATATGGCCGTGGGGCTGGCGCCGATAACCAGTAAATTTGTATTGGGTAGCACCTGGGCTTTGAAACACGCCTGGCAGCCAAGGGCCAGAGTTTGTGTCAGAGTCGCTTCGATCATGTCGACGTCGTCTGGTATTTTGTGGCAGAGGTCGGCGGGGTGTACTTGGTATTTACGGAGAAACCCATTGAAAACTAGTTGGTTGCAGATGTTGTAGCAGCCCTTCTTGCAATAGTCACATATGCCGCAAGCTAAGCCCGATTCTATGACAACGCGGTCCCCGGGGCGTAGCTTCGTTATTGAACAGCCAACCTGATGGAAGAGCGAACCAAATAGAAAGGAAAGGTATTGTTATTTGAAACACAAAATGTTGCACAGCTGACTCGCATCGATCGTTAACGTACTTCTTCTACCACACCAGTGGCGTCGTGACCTAGCGTCATGCCGGGATATGATTCGCCTCCAGTTTCATAGTAATGCAGGTCTGAGCCAGATAGTGCCACGGCTTCGGTGCGCACAAGTACATCTGCAAACAAGTTCGTCTATAAAGCCATTGGCACAAGTTCACAGAAATATCCAGTTTTTGATTACCATATTCACTAAAATTTGGCATGGCTTCCAAACATCTTTCAACGGTAGATGGCTCCATTATTCTTATAACTTCGTTTCTTGTCTCATTTATTAGATTTGAGTCACTTTCACTTTCATCTCCAGAATCACAATCGTCACTGTCGTTATCGTTTACACATTGTTCAATAGTTTTTGTTTCTTCATAGCATCCGATTTGTCCTTCCTTATGGGAGGATAGTGGACCGGCAATTTGAAGACAAGTTCGTAAGCGCAGAGGTGAGAGATTCTTATTTTCTGCCTTATTGTAAAATTGGATTTTTTAGTCTAATAGTTTCATGCAAAGCTTGTTTGAAGAAACAATATACTTACCCTTCTTGTTTTTGCCGCAGCTAGATTTCTGAGGATCCTTGCAACCAGCCTCTTGACACGTCTCGACGTCAGCATAGCAGTCCGTCTTTGGTTTTTTTCGCTCAGGTTTATCAGTGCGTTTGGCCTTTGATTTCGATTGAAGCTTCATGCACATCCCCGAACTTTTGCCATCTTTCTTCTTTCCTTTTGCACTTTTCTTCGAACTAAACTGTCTCCACGGCATTAAACCATGCGGAACATAATATGACGAGATGGTACTGAAGAAGCGCTTAACCGGTAAAATTTCAGTAATTGCTTTGGGGTTCGTCAACGTGCTGTACTTTTTGCATCCCGAAGCTGCACCCGGACCTGAACCTGAACCAGGCTTGGCCTTGCACTTGGGCGCTGTTGGCTTTTTTTTCTGACAGCTGTCTTTGGAATCAGACTTTGATGGTGATGATTTAGAAGCTCCACATTCGATTTTGGACTTAGCAGATTTCTTCCCGTCTGCTTCTTTGCCCGTTGAGCAAGAAGATTTTGACTCCTTCACGTCGCATAAACTTTTTACAGGCTTACATTCACTTGCGGCCCTTTCAGATTTCTTTCCGTCATCTTCTTTATCAGTCGCGCAAGTAGATTTCGACTTCTTCAGATTGCATAGATCCATGATTGGCTTAGATTTGTCCCCGGACTTCTTTTCGTCTGTTGAACAGGACGATTTCGATTTATTCAGGTCAGATAAATTTTTGACTTGCTTCGATTTGCTTTCCGATTTTTCGGAGTTAAATTTCTTCTTGGTACAGAAACCTTCGTATCGCTTACATTTTTCTTTGTTAGTTGAATCTGATTTCCCAGCCTTAGTTTCGTTACAGTTTGAGTCGGAGGCGGACTTTTTAGGTGATCCAGTCTTAGATTTACTGCCTTTCATAGGACTAACACTATTAAATGGCTTACATTTGGCTTGAGAGGAATCAGATGCACCAGAGTCCGATTTACTGCCGGGCGGCTTACAAGATGTAGTACTAGATTTCTTTGGCTCGGTTTTGCATTTGTTGTCTGACCTTTTTATGTCACTGGCACTCTTGGATTTCTTCGCTGACGTTTCACAGTTTGAAGAGGATTTTGATTTTTTCACATCCGAAAGACTCGTCACCGGCTGGCATTTTGTTTCTTTATCGGAAGCTACGGCTTCTTGCTTTTTGGGAAGCGGGGAATTTACGCTATATAAAAGGGGAGTAGCAGAGGAGCAGTTCTTTTTTGGTTCAGGTTTTTCCCCTTTTCCCTTTTCGCAGGGGTCTTTGCATGGATCATCCAAAATACACTTTTCCTTTTTTGGTTTGGGGCAGTCATCTTTCTCTGTTCGGCATGCGTCCGTCTCACTATGACATCGATTCCCCTTTTCCGAATTTCCACAAATGTCTTTCTTCTTTTCCTTATCCTTTTCCTGCTTCTTTTTGTTACTTCCACAGGGCATCGAAGAGCCCGGTGTTCGGCATGTCCCCTTATCTTTACTAGCCGCGTTTTTACAGGGATCATCCTTGCAAGGATCTTTCTTCTTTTTCTTATCCTCCTTTTTCCTAGTTGGACAGTCCTTTTTCAGCTCTTTTCCGCACTCGTCCAACAATGGCGTTGTGCATGGATTTTTGGTATCACCGCATTTATCCCGTTTCCTTGTCGCTTCCTTTTTAATTTTTGTTTCGTCACTCGGCTTACATTTGTCCTTGGAGATTTCCGCACGGCGCTTCGTTGCTTCAACTAGTGCTCGGGCGTACGCCTTACAACTCATCAGACCACGAGAATTGTGACCAATTATTTCGGAGGAGAGCAACGAGATTTCTGAAGATATGCAGGCACCACCAGCCTTGCCTGATTGCGCAGCTTCTTTTGATGCTGACGATTTTCCGGAACTGGGCTTGGCTTCAAATTTCGGATACTCGGCATTTCCAGGTGAAATACACCCCTTGGAACCTTCGCGAACGCAAACAATGTGGGCATCACGAGCTGGAGCTTCCTTATTTTCCGACGAATTCGTGGAATACGACATTCGGCTGATATACGCCGGAAAGCCCTTTTTCAAAGCCGTGCTGCAGATATTTGCTGCTGTAGCAGTGACACAGTCATTAAATTCAGGCGCCTTAATTTCTTCCAGTTCGCCTGGTGTATATTTGGATGGATCAATTTCGAGAGTGCCCTGAATCAGTGCATTGACATCCAAGGGAATTGTATTCTCTACAGCAGATTTGTCCAGGTCCAAATTGACTGTCATCTTCAAAGTGGGATCTTTCAAAGACTTCGATGTGAGGGCCTTAAACATGTCTATGTTCTTGATGGCCTCAGTGCTAAGAATATCGTCGCGAATGTTGCTCATGTCCATTTCGAAGGCCAGCTGCATTGAAGATATGGCCGAATTCTCCGGCACATACACAACCAAATCCCGCCCGAAGCAGTCGTGTGCTTTGATGCGACTCGTATCCTGCTCAGCGACAGCGCGCTCCCGATTCTCGTAACGTGAGACGCGGTTGCCCTTGAAACCCTCCTGCGATGATTTCAAAGCACGCAAGTTTGGTGCTTCCTCATCATTAGCCACCACCGCCCCGTCATCATGACCGGGAAACTGGTCCAGCAGTGCCCTTGTGTTGTTGGATGCCAGCGGAACGCTGTAACACGTTGGTTCTGTTGAGTCCATTAAATTTTCAGTGAACGCCTCGATTTGTCTCGCATGTTCCCGAATCACCGACAGCGTTCTTAATGTATTATTGTTAGCATCGTTGTCGCCGTCGAATAAGTTAAGCGGGATTAGCATGATTCTCGTCGAAGAATTCGGGCTTTTCCAATGTATCAAGGCCACGGGCAGTATGTTGGCTATGTTTGCTTTAACAGTGGCGCCTCCCTTGTTGGAAGAGTCTACAATGGGAGGTAGTTAGTGCAAAGCTTATCTAAGCACTCCAAATTTATTTGTGTGTGTATATTTACCTGTCTTAGAAGACATGGGCCGGATGGTCACATTTTTTATAACGTTGGTAGGAGTGGAACGCCGAACAGGGTTATGGCAACAAAGAAGGGAAGAATAGCGACGCGGTTTAAAATTCGATTGTCGTCTTGAAAGCTAAAAAGGTTTTCCGCAATAAGTACTAGAACTGACAAAGGCCGGCGAACAAGTAGACAACTCACCCGCAAAGTCTGCAGGACTTTACCAAATATTCGCATAATTATTATTAAGAATTTTGTTTGCACAAGAAATTTTGCTAAAAACCAGAGGAAAAGACACAATTTTTTTTGGTATTTTTTCAAATTTTCATTGAAAATTTTTTGATTCAAAGCTCTGAGTCAGTAGCTTACTAAAAAAAATTGTCCGTAAGGTATTTTCGCTGGAGGTACAGTGTTACAAATCCAAAGACATGCCGCTTCACGGACCATTGGACCTCTGAAACTGTGTACCAAGTGACCTTGGCAAGTGGTTAGCACTCAGTGAGTCAGGGTTATTGGCATCACGCCGAATGTGTTCTAGCATTGTCGGTGCAGAGCGAGCGGGGAACATAAGCAATAAGCGCTCATTCTGCGTACATACGTACGTACATACTTTGCAGACGCTTCCAAGGGGTAATGTGTGTGACTGCAAGCCACAATGAAAACAAAGCTAAGTAATGCAATGAAACAAACCAAATTTTATGGAGACGCATTCCGCATATTAATGATTAAATTGGCTGGTTTATAGTTTTTGAGTCGTTTTTCAAACCGTTTCGGTTAATCGGCGATGTCCAAAGCGGTTAGTGCGAGCCAAACTACCAGTGACTGTGGTGTGTTAAGTGTAGTCCAAGGAGTACAGTCTTCGGAACGCGATCGAGACCAGTGCTCAACGTTTGACTTTAATAGAGTTAAAGTTTTAAAACGTAAATTTAGCAAAATGTTCGGAGCGCATCGAATTGCCGGGACTATTGCGTGGGCTTTTGTTTTTTCAACTGTAAGTGCACGTATGCTTGGAGAAAATGGTGAAAAGTTTTGGAAGTAATAAAATAGGTAGCTCGTTCAAGTTAAGGAAAAAAGGAATAAAGTGGAAATTAAAGCCTTTCACAACACATACACATAGCCATATCGTTCGCCAAGCGGTTGACTAGGTAATAGCTTTGAGACTTTCGAAGATTTCATACCCATAGTGTTAGAACGAAAACCCAAAATATTAGATATATATGTAGTCCAGTCAATGAGGCAGGTTAGCTTCCTTGCATATTTTATAAATTCTACGAGCCCCACGCGTTTTTATTAAACTACTAAATTAAACTATGTTGGCTATTCATTATTTACATCTATTCCACTGTTCGACAGTCGGCTGGGGAATTGATGAAACCAAGTTTTTCTGAAAGTCTGGGCTCGAATCGTAACATCTGTTCACGGATCGAAAACGATACGAAAGAAAATTACGTGATATGTCAGGCAGTGTAAGCTGGATGAGACAAAGAGTACGTTCACGTATGTCATAATTCGAAAAATGTATTTTTACGTGACGAGTAGTACGATATCGTATGTGACGATTCCAGCCCTGGATTTGATATAGACAAAAAATTCTCGGTTGCCTTTAAAACAATTTAAATTGATTTAAATGCAAATAAATATACCATCAAAAAACCTTTCAGGGTCTTTTTGGGTGGGAGTAATCCAAATCTGCAATTTTTTTTTACCAAAAATGGCCGCTCGGTGCACTTTGGTGCAAAAAAAACATAAAGAAGCAGTCTTAACCTAGCCAACAGAGTTTGGTATAACTTCAAATCGTCAAGTCGGGTCACATTTGTTTACCTTTCTCCTGAACCTGGAAACGGATAATACTGTTGGTGACCGATACGACTGCAGGTGAGTGCCGCTGAATGCACCGCAGCCGTATGTTTCATCTCTTTTGCGGACAAAAGTGAACCGTTACGCACTTGCAAATCACTCCAGTGCAGCGAAAAAAGTCGAACTGCAAAACCCAGCTATTGCTGCTGATAGCTGTTCCCATTGTGTATGAAGTTTTGTATGACGAACGTTGTGTGACCTTGAATACCAACGCGCCATACTTAGTAGCATTCATATTTTATGACAATATATGTAGGTATGTATGTATGTACATATCGTCATTTAATGTACAAAAGCGCGTATCAAGATAATGCAAAACCTCGCATGTGAGGTTGCATAAATTATTTTCTAGAGAGTAAAAACACTCGCATTTCAAAATGATTGTCTTTTTTACAAAGCAATCGCATTTCTGGCTAGTATATTTTAGGACGAATGGATAAGGATTGAGCCAAGAACTTATGTGAGCAAAACCAATTTTTGGCAGCCAATGTCAGTTACGCTGTTTCGCAGAATGACGCGATACGCGGTTTTGTAGTTTAAACGACGATATGTAGGTACATATGGATTGGCGCGTGTATGTGTGTGTGCACATTACCGTGCAAATACCAAATACGAGCGTTATTATGAATTCGTATGTTCATAACTTGCAAGCCATTTTAGTGCGTTCATTCCACTAATTGCCACCCCGCGTCATAGATCTCAGGCAGGAGTGGCATTTAAATGTTGGCATTATTGCATTCAATTAACAAAGATTACTTCCTCCAATTTGTGGTGATCACTTGGCTCTGCATTTTCTATTTTCAGTTCACGCTCTTGGAGATGGCTGCCCTTCCCGCAACTACATCTGTGCCTCACACCACCCACATCGTCAGCTACGTTCACCAAGGCAGAGTCGGCGCAAAGAGGGGTGAAATAAGAGAATTCGACTATGAGAGCGTTCAAAACAAAGCTGGCGGGCGCAGCGCAGCCTTACGCTCTACTAAACCGGCAACCCCACTCTCTGAACTGTATGGCGCATTTGTAGAACAACTAGATATGAATCTTGACAATGGTTTTCAGAGCACTGGAGGCAGCGCTATGGTTCAGCAATATACCACCGAAGCGGCCAACAGAACTGACGACTTACTGGTTTTGCATCAAAATACACTGGACGACGCCGATGACGTCTTTGGTCGCAGTGAGCAGCATGAGTCTTCCACCATGGTGAAGAACTGTAGCCAGCCGCACGTTGGGTGCCCGTTGTGGAATCGCATGAAGCAAAGCATACCGGTGTTGGAGCCTGTGCGGCATCTTCTCAATACCGTACGTGACCAGCACAACCAGACTGTGCATGCGGCCCGGCAGCATCATCAGTTGCTGGCCGCAATGAAAGGTGGTTTCGGCGATCACACGGCTGCTAACGAGTCGTCGGCCATAGAGACCGAAGAGGATCGCGAGACTGCCAACGAGAGCACAGAATTCAAGTTGCTTGACTTTGCAGGCAGCCTGGTTAGCATGCTGTGGGGCTTCATTGGTAATCTTCAGCGCATCTTTGCGGCCAGCAGTGGAAATGCCTTAGCTTCCTCCTCGTCCGGTTCATCAGGTGGTCAGTAATCTAGTATTCACAAATGTGAAATTTATTTTTTGGACAGATGTACCCTGAGTCAACTGTGATTAACAACATTTTGCTAATTTTAGAGATATGTATGTACTTAAATAAAGTGTATATGTATGTACATATGTGTGTAAGTCTATACAATGTACTAGCAATTTAGATTATTTTAATTGAATTGATTTAGTATCGAAATAAATATTTATGCATTTAACAAGTTTTGTTTAAAATTAATATGTATCAGCAAAATACATACTTAGGGCCAATTTCACAATGCGTAGTTAACTCAGAATCGGGAGTTAACTACAGAATTTTGTACTGAAAATCTCTAGTTAACTGTCGATTCTGAGTTAACTACGCACTGTGAAATTGGCCCATAGTATACATATGTATGTACATACAAACACATTAGGGCTCGTAAAATTATCCGAGTATTCGACTATTCGGTTAACCGATCGGTCGGTTAATGGTATTCGAATAGTCGCCCGCGTTCGACTATTCGAATAGTTGCTTTGATTTGACTACTCGGGTATTGTAAAAATCGAATTTCAGTTACCGAAATTCATTGAAATTTTTTGACAAATGAAAAATCCGTGGGGGAAATGGAAGTAACGTGTTCCATATCTGAACAATCATTCTCTTATAACAACCATTTAACAAAAATCCACAAGAAAAATCGCGATAATCAGAGGTAGGTATTACTTTAGCCAGTGTGTCTAAAATATTTCGCAATCAATTTTCAATAATTCAATTACTTAAAAAAGCGTGTCTTTTAATATAGCTTTTATCATTGATAACAAAGATTTAGTAATTTAATATGGGATAGAATTTAATCTTATCCCATCCAGTATTTTACTGCACATACCTTTATTTCTTGCAAAAAAGTTTGCTTTAATATTGCACATGCAATCTTAAATATTACGAATGTAATAAGACTATTCATATATTTATGTACGCTTAAATGCAAAAATCCCGAACTAAAAATATTCGATTATCCGAAGATTAACGGTTAATCGAATAATCTAAAGTGAACAGTTAATAGAATAGTCGACAGCTTTCCGCTACTCGAATATTGCTAACCGATTAAATGTAATCGACTTCAGTCACATTCGGATAATTCGGTTAATCGATTAACCGAATAGCCCTAGCTCTAATACACATGTNTCGTAAAATTATCCGAGTATTCGACTATTCGGTTAACCGATCGGTCGGTTCATGGTATTCGAATAGTCGCCCGCGTTCGACTATTCGAATAGTTGCTTTGATTTGACTACTCGGGTATTGTAAAAATCGAATATCAGTAACCGAAATGCATTGAAATTTGTTGACAAATGAAAAATCCGTGGGGGAAATGGAAGTAACGTGTTCCATATGTGAACAATCATTCTCTTATAACAACCATTTAACAAAAATCCACAAGAAAAATCGCGAAAATCAGAGGTAGGTATTACTTTAGCCAATGTGTCTAAAATATTTCGCAATCAATTTTAAATTATTCAATTACTTAGAAAAAAGCGTGTCTTTTAATATAGCTTTTAGCATTGATAACAAAGATTTAGTAATTTAATATGGGATACAATTTAATCTTATCCCATCCAGTATTTTACTGCACATACCTTTATTTCTTGCAAAGTTTGCTTTAATATTGCACATGCAATCTTAAATATTACGAATGTAATACGACTATTCATATATTTATGTACGCTTAAATGCAAAAATCCCGAACTAAAAATATTCGATTAACCGAAAATTAACGGTTGATCGAATAATCTAAAGTGAACAGTTAATAGAATAGTCGACAGCTTTCCACTACTCGAATATGTAATCGACTTCAGTCACATTCGGATAATTGTTAATCGATTAACCGAATAGCCCTAGCTCTAATACACATGCATGTAACATGAAACACTCATGGTAGTCCGGTTCGTGTCATCAATCTTTCGTTTTCATTTGTTTGTTTGCCTATCCCACGACCGCAGAAATATGCAACAATTGGCATTAATGTGGTTCGTTTACAATTTACGTATGTACATATGTATATGATTCAAATACTTGAAAGCAATTCTTCTTCATTCTCTTTTTAACAGACTTCCAAAAAAGGAGGAGGTTATCAGTTCGTCGGAATATTTTTTNAATATTTTTTTTTTTTTTTTTATGTATGTTACCGCATAACTTTGCACCACATCAACCGATTTCAATAATTCTTTTTGCAACGGAAAGGTAGTGTCTCAGAGATACTAATTTGGTTTAGATCCGATCATTGATATATAGATATATGTATATATATATTTTTTTAAGTCGGTTTTTTTTTTTTGCTAAAAATTGCTTGTTTCTATTTGCTTTTACACGTGTCAATATTGTTGATTTCAAGCTTTTGGTTCTTTAAAAGGAAAACAACGAAAATGGGNAGCTTTCCGCTACTCGAATATTGCTAACCGATTAAATGTAATCGACTTCAGTCACATTCGGATAATTCGGTTAATCGATTAACCGAATAGCCCTAGCTCTAATACACATGTATGTAACATGAAACACTCATGGTAGTCCGGTTCGTGTCATCAATCTTTCGTTTTCATTTGTTTGTTTGCCTATCCCGCGCCCGCAGAAATATGCAACAATTGGCATTAATGTGGTTCGTTTACAATTTACGTATGTACATATGTATATGATTCAAATACTTGAAAACAATTCTTCTTCATTCTCTTTTTTTTCTATTTGCTTTTACACGTGTCAATATTGTTGATTTCAAGCTTTTAGTTCTTTAAAAGGTAAACAACGAAAATGGCAAGGAGCCCGAAACGACTTGACAGATAAGTACAGCGGCGAAAATCTAAATACGCCATCAACACCACCTTGTATAAATTCGCCTTGTACCTGACTCTTGGACTGACTCTGAATGATTCAACTGTGTGTAGTCGAAGGCGAGTCAACACGTACGCAAATGATTCGCGAGTCAGACGCACCGTGTATGCAACCTATAAGAGTATTGGAAATCTGTTCCGAATGTTGTAGCGATTCCTTTACAAATTTTCAAAATAAATCATATTGAGGGGTGGACAGGAAATGTCTATTCCATTTCCTAGAGAATATCGTAAAAGCATCGAAGTGTGCAGAGCACATTTCTTTGCAAAGCTTTTATTACCGGAATATTTTATGTTTACCATTTCTTGTAACTCCAGTTCTAGGTAAATACATTGGTAACGTTGAAACGCTGGTATTACATATTAGGTTTGTTCCACACGCTTTCCGGACTGTTTCGGTAATTAGAGCGTAAAAACAAGTTACTCTCTCACAAGTGTCAAAAGTGTCCAGAGCGTGGGGAACGCAAAAGCCACCTTTCGTGCCCAGAATCAACAAATCAGCTTCTAAACAATGATTTTATGTGTATTTATCTTATATATAGCTAATAAAATTAGCACATACCTACATTTCTGAACCTTTAATACTATTTCCCGTTTTGTAATTTACAAAATATGCTATCGGATGTAAACAAACAACAGCTGTTATTTCAAACTGACTTCATGCACTTTTCTGCCCGGAAAAAAGTAAGAGCNGAGTCAACACGTACACAAATGATTCGCGAGTCAGACGCACCGTGTATGCCACCTATAAGAGTATTGGAAATCTGTTCCGAATGTTGTAGCGATTCCTTTACACATTTTCAAAATAAATCGTAGAGAGGGGTGGACAGGAAATGTCTATTCCATTTCCTAGAGAATATCGTAAAAGCATCGAAGTGTGCAGAGCACATTTCTTTGCAAAGCTTTTATTACCGGAATATTTTATGTTTACCATTTCTTGTAACTCCAGTTCTAGGCTGCATTTCTTTATTCATTCTGAATGTTTGGAATAAACTTTTTTGTTTATTTGTTCTTTAGAACGTTCCTGATGATATGTTGACGTATATTTCAAACGCATTCTGTTTATTCCGGCTGTGAAATGGGATTATCCGGAATGTATAAAGAAACGCAGCCATTGGTAACGTTGAAACGCTGGTATTACATATTAGGTTTGTTCCACACGCTTTCCGTGCTGTTTCGGTAATTAGAGCGTAAAAACAAGTTACTCTCTTATAAGTGTCAAAAGCGCCCAGAGCGTGGGGAACGCAAAAAACTACTTCTCATTCCTGGAATCAACAAATCAGCTTCTAAACAATGATTTTATGTGAACCTTTAGTACTATTTCCCGTTTTGTAATTTACAAAATATGCTATTGGATGTAAACAAACAACAGCTGTTATTTCAAACTGACTTCATGCACATTTCTGCCCGGAAAAAAGTACGGGTTGTTTCGGGCACGAATAACAAAACATTTACGATTCAAAAGTGGATGGTA